TATCAAATTAATAATGATATTTAATTTAATAGGTGGGAATATAATTGAAGATATACACAATTTCTATTTAAGCATTATGTTTTCACATTGTCAAATCAGACGTGTAAAAAGCTATAGAGATGATGGATAATACTGTTTATTTTTATTAATTTTTCTTGATTTGTAGAAGTTTCATTTAAATATTTAACTTTGAATTATTATTACATTACGAAATAGCTTCAAGCTCTTTACGTATTTTTGTGAATAATGTTCATTGAATTAATTTTAAAACCTCAAGAATATTTGTTGATAATATTACGCTCTTAATATGAGTACAACGAAAAATCAATGAAATCTCGATTGACAGCCGTCCTATATTCTCCCTAGAAAGCAATTTAAAAGCCTGCCTACATATTTACTTTATTCTTGAAAACCTATTAAACTCATGGACATTGAAATAGTTAAATCGCCTTTATGCAACGCGCCGGTTCAGTTGTAAGTAAAATTTCTCATTGCAACAGGAACGTTTAGCAACTTTTTAATAACCAAACGTTCACAGTATTACAATAATGGCAGAGATAATAACACCTTTTGCGCTCATCCGTCATCCCAGCGCGTATTATATATTATAACAAAATGAAATGCAAACACTGTTTGCGCTCTTGTCTTGGATTTTCTCGGTCTTGTAGTTTTTTTTTCGATTTCAAAATCCGATTCGCACGACACGCAACAATTGACGCTCATTGTTATACCTGCAGCGAGTAGAATTCTAAAGTAAAAGCCGCTCGAAGGACCGGATTCGTAAAAACCCGCTAATTAATTGATAAAAACGCCAATTACCTTATCGCCGAAATATTTTATTAAAAATTACGGATGATTTATGAAACTTTCTCGCACTGCCGGCTGTGATAAATGGCCAATAGTGTCACCGAATTGATTGTGTTTAATGGATTGCTTTCGTGTATCATTCCGGGCTCTTTAGTGGGCGGACGACGGCTATTTTATTTGCATATTTGGATAATTTCATTGTAAAAATTAGCCATTTACCTACTGTTGAACATCGTTATGATTAATCGAGTAAATAATTAAATAACTCACATGATAGAAATTGATGGTTCCACAATAAATAATTTTAATAAATAGCTTAAGAGAAAAGAACTTATCACATACATATCATACTACATCCAACATTTATCTTGAGTTTGAAGTAAGCACACCCAAAATTAAGCATGAATTTTTTAAAATACAAAACTGCGATAATTTAAGAAGAAAATTTCCAAGTAAATTTTTGAAGGAAAAACTGTTGTGGATATCTTCGATCTGCGATTCTACAATTTTAATAATGCATTACTATTACTTTAAAGAGTCATAACTGTATAAAAAAAATGTTAATTTGGTACACCATAGTTTAAAGAGTAAAGCCGTAGATTAAATAATATAGACTCTTAAAGAGTTATTAATGATGAATTAAGTACAAAGAAATTTTGATTTCGTCGGAATCGCAATTAACCCGAGGTTAATTAGTTTATGAAAACTTTCGATTTTTCAAAAGTACGTGCTAGGAATGGAAAATTTCGGAGGATCAGCTTATAGTAGACCGGTTTTGAACTATGATGGAATCCTACGCTTTCGCGGGGCATTTTTGGCCGACAATACTAATCAAATAAACATTTATTTGAAAATCGTCGATTTACCTACATTTTCGGACTTTCACTTTATTCTTGCGTTTACGATAATAACACCGGTGTCGAGGCGTTAAAGCGAAAGAAAACAACAAAATATAACCCCGGTCGAGGATTTAAAAATTTCTTAAGGCCGAGTCCTTGCTATAGAAATTGCACAGCTTTTCGAATTTAATATCCGCTCCTGTTTAGTATGTCTCTGTGTCAGGCTTGTTTAGATTTGCAAATTGGATAGCTATACACAACAAATCTCGGTTTGTTTCATACATAGTAGGATCAAAATGTTTTCTATAAAAATAATATTGTTACTTACAATACTGCCAGCGTTAATAAATCAATGCCCGTTACGCTACTGATAAAATGATTTACGTGTCGGTAGACGTCTTGAGTACATCCTGAACACGTAATCTTCCTGAAAGAAAAGAACAATTTGTTTAAATAATAACGCTTTCTACCGAACGGTAATCGGTAATGCGGGTAATGGGCAAGAATAAGAAAGGAACATATCCAGCGAATATGTGCGCTTCACGACGGATTCGAATCCCATCGAGGAAATCGATTCTTTGACCTGCAAAAGTTCGCGAAGATTCGTTCGATCAACTCGCTGATTTATTAGCCACTTTATCATTCGGCGCTCATTGCATTTTGAGTGTTCGATGTTATGAAATTAAATTGTAAAGCAAATAAGCCGGGTTGAATTTTCTTAACGTATTAAGATGGCTACTTGATTGCACTTAGAGTAGTTCAAAATTGAATAATAGAGATCAAATTTAGCATTGTAGAGATTGTAAAGATTTTGAAATAATTTGTATAAAATATCATTATAAACCAGTTTTTTACATAAAAAATGTAAATTCTTCTATAAAGCAGTTACAAAATTGTTTATTAATAACAATTTACTAATTATCATTACTAAATAAATCTGAAACAAACGAAGATAATCAGTATTTATTATAAAGTAACCTGAATAGAGTTTTAAATTATGAAACGTCCACTTAAATATTTCATTGATATCGGGTCGGTTTTCGCCTTGTTTGGTTTGAATTTCGCATGAAAACGTTGCGAAATAATCGAAATTAATTACGAAGATTCATAATAAATCCACCATCGATTCGTAGTGATGCGGAGGAATCGAACGCGAAAATGAGAAAGGTACTTTGTACCGAGCATGAAGTAATAACAATTCACAATCGATTGCGTTTTGGAATGATCAAACCCATCGAGCATTCGACGAGAAAGGAAAATAAAATCCTAAATAATAAATTACCGGCTAATTGTTTCACGGCAACAGGGCGGAGTCTGGGAGTCCTGACAAGCTTTACGAATTTACTAGAAAAATTTCTTTTATTCAATTCAGATTTTTTTTACGTAACGCTTCCACGAACAACTTTATATGCGCGTTTGATCGCCGTCGAAAGGAAACATTCTATGCACCGAACATGCGTGGTAATTTAAATTGTGTCAAAAAAAAGAAGATGTTGTAGAAATACCTGATTGCCCGTAATGATAAAATGCTCTCTCGGACGTTTTTATTTGCGTCAACGTTACCTAATCGCAATGAAATAGGAAAGGCATGTGCATGTCTGTATATCTTATAAGTATATTATAACTTCTTAGAGATTACCGAGCTGCCAACTTAACGCAGATGGGGACTTTTATTGGAATGTTGGTAACGCAGTAATTTGTTGTGATTAATGTGGAACAAGTGCTACGCCTATGTAGAATAATTTAACATTCTAAATAAGATCGTTATTTATGCAGCTGGTACTGAATTGGGCGCAGAAATTATTTATTTCCTGAGAGATTAAAAAAGGGTATTTTATTCTTATAGGTAAATTGGATGGGAGAATATTTCAGGTAGAAAAGGGGATTCATTTGCAAACTTTGAAAGAAATTAAAGAAATTAAAGATTTTTGGAGTTGTTTTAAAAAGCAGTGCAATAAATTAATTTAGATTCTAGGGAATGATAGAGTAGAGAGTAGCAGAAGGGAGTAGCAGAAGAGAGTAACAGAAAAGAATAGCAAAAGAGGGTAGCAGAAGAAAGTGGCAGAAGAGGGTAGCAGAAGAGAGTAGCAGAAGAGAGTAGCAGAAGAGAGTAGCAAAAGAGAGTAGAAAAAGTGAGTAAAAGAGAGTAAAAGAGAGTAGAAGAGACCTTTCATTCTTCGCGCCCAATTTACCTATAGAATTAGAATTATAAAATTATAGAATATTTTTTTTATATGCCCAAGAGGGTATTCTTGTACAACAGTGGCTCAATTTATACATACTAAGAAGTGATTTGTGTAGCCATATCTAATAAGTTAAGAGACCCTTTCAAAAAATATATATTTATTTCCCTAAATAAGCCTACATTCTAAAGTAGTTTAAGCATTATGAAAGATTGATATACCCAAAACATGCTTAAAAGTCCATCTTGCCCTAGAAAATTAATTGTATATACAGGGTGTCGTATTTGATACGGTCGGTTTTCTCGCAAGGAAAGTCAAATATGCAAATGTAAAATCGTAATTGCAATATTACATAGTACGGGTATCGGACCGTGAAGGCGTACTCATCCAAATCAGAGCGTATTATCTTCTTTTCTTTCTTCGTTTGTAATTTCGAACGCCGATCGTTCGGAAGCTGAATATTCCGAAGAGGCATTGCAACACGGCGCGTAATTGTTGAGCAAACCGTGTTCCTGTTTGGAATCGAAAAGATGCTACCGATAGAGAAATCGAAAGGGAAATTTAATTGCCCATTAATCGCTTTTTTAGGATGACTTTTTTTTCGAAATTTTAATGATTTTTAGGATGGATTTCAATAAACACTTTTCTTACAAAAAAAAATTAAAAATAGAAATTCTGTCACGATGGTTTTGATTTATAAGGAATTAAAAACTCACCCTTGTACAACCGAAAAACACATTTGTTCGATACAAAATACCAAACAAAAAATTATAAAAAAACCTCAAAAATTTCAACACCGGTCATTTAAACAAAACGCAAAGAAGCCTTACGTAAAATATCGACAGCAAAAATCGTAAAAAATATCGAAACAATGCAAAATAATTCAATAAAACCTAACCACTGGAAAAGGGCAAGAAGCAAGAAACGTCGACCGCATCGCACCGAATTAGTCCTGATTGTAAAATTAGTAAAAGTAATTTTTTTTCTCTCTTCTCATCGCGGGCGAGCGGTGAATGTAAAGCCGAAGATCCTCCGCCCGGCATGTGCAAATCTTCTTCTTCGTCGCGCGACGTCCTCTTGCCCGACCTCCTAGTGGGAGACGATAGTATTTAAATCAATTGGGATGTACCATCCGCATCATATGATCATTTTAGTTAAGTGATTTTGCATCATGAAACCTTTTGTGGTACGTAGAACCTTTTTTTATACCTTATTTTATTTTTTGTAAATAATTTTGGATTTTTTTGTGATAGTGACTCGGTGTTGTATCGATATGTATTTAATAAGTGGATTTTTTTTTCGGAAATTTTATTGGTAGTTTTTTGAACTTGCAGAAATTTTTCGAATTTGGTTTCTTTTAAAGCAAAAACATATTTTAATGTTTGTTTTTGTTTGTACAGTAATTCACAGACTCTTAAAGTATTTTGAAAAATTTTTCGTATTTAAAATTTTGGGATTTTTAAATTTGTTGTTCATATCAAATTATATGTGATAAGATACATTCTCTAAAACAATCATTTTTCAAATTAGTTAAGGAAATTTTCTACAAATTTCTACAATAGTAACCCTTTTTAAAGTACAACAAATTTATGTAGAAATTTTCCTCAAAAAGTTCAATTTTTCCTCTAAAATTTTTACTCTGAAATTAATTTTAGGGTAATTTAGAGGGAAAATTGTAGTAACAAAATGCAAATTTAATGAGGTTTAAACATGAAAATTCGGAGATAAAATTAGAGGGATAAAATACTTAAAATTTATCCTTTTTTGAGAAATCTCATAAGAATAATATCCATTTGAATACTCTATGTCAAGGCGAAGAGAACTTTATGTAACTCAAAGCTCGATGAATCAGTGCAGATTGCAAAATTGCGAAATTTCATCTGGTTTATGCGGTAAATTTCCCACAATTTCACGAAAACTTTCGCACGGTCATACAAAATCAACGCAATAAATCGTTTTTATCAACGAGGAAGTTTAAAATCTAAAAGGAAACAATACATTGTGTTTTTTCATATGGTTACAAAATTAATCAACTGAAAATGAAAGTCATTACACCTACACTCGGTTTAATTAGATCAAGCTGGAAAAATTATGAAAGAAAATTCTCATTTACCTCCATATTAATAAAATATGTAATGAAAAACTCGATCTAGATTTGATTTTTATTGCATTGAATAATAAGTAGGTGCTTATGCGAATTCGTGGATTATACGGATTATAAACGAGAAAAAATATTTACCCACTTTCTCTTTTATTTCTTTTGGAAAATTTCAATCTGGGCCATTTAATTTGCATACGAACATTAAATGAATCTGAATTTTATGAAAGTTATAGAAAATTTTCGTGATAGATTTAAAGCGACAGAATCAGCGTAGGATTTAATTTAAATACCTACTTAGAAATTGTTTTTTTTTAATAGAAAATTAACAATATTAGGTACATTGCAATAATTTAGTTTGAATCGTTCATTAAGTACCTAATGAGCGATTAATTTTTCGAAAAATATTCGCTCTATTAGATGCATTCGATTGCACTTAGAATGTTTGAATAATTCCTCAAAAATGCGCATAATAATAAGATTCGCTAAATTTAATAGCTTAAAGTATGCGCATTTTATTTGTATAATATGTAGATTAATGAAATATTCATGAGATAAACATAAAATCCGAATGCAAAATGATTATTTAAATTGATGAAGTAGACTGAAATCTGATAGCAATATTTTCTTTCAACTTAATTAATATTTATTAAAAACAACACCTAGAAAAAGTTTTACCAGAAAATGCACCAATATATCTATAAAATGTATCGATTTTTAAAAATTTATTTAGTTAAATATCTGGTGGAATTAAATTAATAAATTTTTTTTTCTCAGTTGTTGTCCACTTTGGTGGCGATCGCCAGTGCTCGACCGGAAGCCGGTTACAGCTACAGCCCCCCATCTAGTTCTTATGGAGCTCCGACCGGCGGCGGTGGAGGCTTTGGAGGTGGATTCGGGGGCGGAATCGGAGGAGGCGGCGGCGGCGGAATCGGAGGAGGTAATTCGATTAAATCAACTCTCTTACATGAACAATTAAACAATATTGATATTCAGGCGGCGGCTTCGGTCACGGTGGTGGCGGCGGCGGCGGCGGATTCGGAGGAGGCGGTGGATTCGGAGGCGGCAGCGGAGGAGGTAATGACATTAATCTAGGTGCAGTAAAGAATATTTCACGTGATGTTTTTAAATCGTAGGTTTCGGAGGCGGAATTGGCGGCGGTTTCGGCGGCGGCGGCGGCGGTGGATTCGGCGGCGGCTTCGGCGGCGGCACCACCATTCAGAAACACATCTACGTGCACGTACCGCCACCAGAACCTGAAGAGTTCAGACCGCAAAGACCCATCTCCGTCGGTCAAGCACAGAAACACTACAAAATCATCTTCATCAAGGTACAATTCCAAACGCTTTCCATCTAACTAATCGCTCATTACAATGAATTTTCCGCAGGCCCCAAGTGCCCCAGCACCTACCGCTCCGGTGATCCCGCTCCAACCGCAAAACGAAGAAAAGACATTGGTATACGTTTTGGTCAAGAAACCCGAAGAAGCGCCGGAGATTTCCATCCCAACTGTCGCGCCAACGCAACCCAGCAAACCAGAAGTTTACTTCATCAGATACAAGACCCAGGTATGTAATCAATTTAATTGCAGTAATCGCTTCCAGAAGATAAAAACGCTAGATAAACCGACAGATGCTAAAATAGAAAACTTTCAAAGTGTTTGTTTAAATTATTAGGTAGGCATCGTTAATCCTATTAGCAAGAGGACGAGATAATAAATATTTTCGCCGGCTACCGAATGTGTTACTAACTATTTTTATTAATCAATTATTGCTCTCGATTTACCATCTGTTGATTGCTGATCAAAGATAAAAGCATCTCCTTTTTCGTGTATCTACAATTTTGATTACTTTAAATTCTCCATCAATCACAAACCATCCAACAATTACCAGCATTATCGATTCGAATTAAATACTTCCCAATTACCATAAAATCTACAGCGACTAATGATCGGTGAAAGTATCTCCAGTAATCGCAATCCACTTTCGATGGGTGAAATACCGTTTAGCGGCGTCGGTTCGTCTTCTCGCCCATCGTCGACCTCTCCGGGTGTATTTTTTTTTCTTCTTTCGCACGCCGAGAAATCCCCGAGACGCGGAAGCCCCGCGGGTCGCGCAATAAATGAAAGTAGCCGTCAGGCTCTTTGCGGGTCAACGAGTCTCTTTCTCGCATCTCCGCTAATTTATTTGTGGGAAATTTTCGAATCGAAGATAATAGAAAGCGACGACGGCGTGTGTTTGTGCACTATTATAAATAGATGTAAGAGTGAATAGTTCGAGATGCGCGGCTTTGTTTAATGAAGTCAATGTACCTGATGCGTTCATTAATAAGGAATTGTATCGTAAATGTAGGGAGAATACACTTTAGCATTGAAATGGTATCTTAAATGTAGAGAGAAAAGACTTTTACTTTATACTAGGTAGTGTCTAGGTAATTTGTTTAAATGTATGTTTGTTTCGTTAACAGAAAACCGCAGGAGGCGGCAGTGGATTCAGCGGCGGCAGCGGCATTGGCGGCGGCTTCGGCGGTGGTATTGGCGGTGGTATTGGAGGTGGAATCGGCGGAGGAATCGGAGGCGGTAAGTAAAGCTCTCAAAAAGCTTTTTTTCATTCTCATTGTCATTCTCTTCTGTCGTTCTTCTTGATTGCTGTACTGCATAAGCTCTTAGAAGCTACTAAAAGCTCTATAAACCTTTCAAAAAGCTCATTAAAGATCACACACAAGTTTTTTTTCTTCACATTCTTATTCTCCTCTGTTGCTATTCTTCCTCAACATCGAGCTCTTAGAAGCAACTAAAAGCTCTCTAATGTTTCCAAATAGCTACCTAAAGCTCTAAAATAAACTCATTTTCTTTACATTGTTATTCTCTTCTATCGCTTTTCTTCCTTCACAAAAGCCTTTCTTCCTCTTTAAGGCTTTCAAAACAGCTCTCAAAAATTTTTGATTCACCTGTTGATATTGATTGTTTGTTAATAGGCGACGGATTAGGAGGAGGAATCGGCGGAGGAATCGGCGGCGGAAGCGGAATCGGAGGTGGAATCGGAGGTGGAATTGGAGGCGGTCACGGAGGCGGCGGCGGCGGCGGCGGTGTTTCGTCGAGCTACGGCCCCCCTGGCAAATCCGGCCCCTACTAAGATTCCTAACTAGTTACCTCGACGTCGCGATGCCCTTCAGACCGTTCGGACTTTTCGATTAATCGATTAATCGATACGGTCGTCGCTTGTAGTCAATGAAATCGATTGATTAGGAGTAGAACGGACGGTTTGAGGTGAACCGCGGATGGTTCTTATTCGGCTTCTTTCACTCGAAAAATAATCCACGTAAATCAAATTCCATGGTGATGCTGGTACGTCCGCTGTTGGTGTCAAAAATTCTTTGTTTTATTTCGATGGTAAAATAATAGAAATTTTGCGGATTTTTGGGACCGATGGCAGGGCGCTTTTTATTATTTTTTTTTTGTTGATTTGTTCCCTATGGGTCAAGTCGGTATCTCGCGGCGCTGTTTTGGATGGAAATGCGAAAGTCTCGCTTGTAAAGACTATTTTTTTTTGTATTCGTTCGCCGTATCCACTTTTATTATTTTGGAGTATTTCGCATGTTCATCGAAAGCGGTTTCACTTTGTAAATATCGTGCAATATAAGTATATATGTTATATATTTTATATATTTTTTGTATATTTTTTTATGAATACGGTGACAAATAAATGTATTTTTAGTAGAAATTTGTAGGATTTTATTTTGAGTACCACTCGTTAATTTTATACAAATATCATCTTATTGATGCAATGTGATGGGTTATATTCATCCAAGTTTTAATGGTTTTGTAGAATTTTCAAAAGTAATTATGAAAATATGCAATTTTATAAAGAAAAGGTATTTAATTTTTTAGAATATACCTAAATAAAAATATATTGTTAAAATGTTGCAAAAATAAGGATCAACCTGTAAAAACAATTACCTATACTAAAGCAGAAATTTACACTCGAGTAAAGAGAAATTTTCTTTTTATGTTGAGAATAGTCTTTAAATAATAGATGGCAGTAGTAACTAAAAAAATAGTTTAAAATATAAACTTCTTGATTACTTATGTAATATAATTAATTTACGTGTAATACTTAGCATTATTTGTAATCATACTAACTGTTAATTAAAGGAAATTTGAATACATTTGTAACTGAAGAGTTACAAGAGCATTATATGGTTATAGTGTAAATAATAATTAATGAATGCCCGTATTCAGAAGTGTCGATTGCAATATAACCCAATGGTTACATCAAATTTAACCAACAGGTTATATACATATTATAACGCTCGATAATAATAATAGGTTGTGTCGTAGATAATAGATAAAATAGAATATGTAAATATTACCTATGAAAAAATTTGTTAAAATTTACATGTTTTGTTACTTGAAAGTAGGTACTAAGTAGGTAGGTACAGGAATAGTTCCTTTAACCGGTAGTTTATTCAAAAATGTATTAGTATTAGCACAAATTCACAAATAGCAGATTTTAAATGAATTTTTTAAATGGAAAGTATAGTCTTGTGATATATCGTTTCAAAGGTCTCTATTCTCTATCCGAAATTGTTATTGTTATCGAGTTTTAAAAAAATATATATAATATAAATAAAAAATCATCTGATGTGAGCCTTAAATTCGATATAATACACTCAGTATGTAATACCTAAATATTCATAATGTAAAAAATATGAATTTCCTCACTAAAAGTGTTATTTTATGCATTTGTATTAATCTAACAATTTTTCTTAATTGCAATTAACGAAATTCAAACAAAAATTATTACACTAACAACTACTCTCACGCAGTTATAGTTACAAACCAATTTGCTAAGGCCTTTTAAACAAACTAGTCTTATTATTAAGGCTAAAATAGAAAATAAGATTTTACTGGAAAATATCAATAACATTTTTGGATGGAGAATGAAGAGACCTTTTACACGATATAGGTATCAAAAGCCTACTACTCATTTATAAAAATAGTGGTTGTAACTCATATTTTTTTGCTCATATTTTGACGTTGAGGAATGTCAAATTATAATTAAAATTTAAAGTGTTTCGAGATATTCTATAAATATCTACAGTAACTCAAATAATGAATTTTGTACTGGTACTAATTACAAATACACCATATGCAATTTTTCAATTTATTTTTGTATAAAATTAAATAATACGATACAAGTATGAGTATATTAATTAGTATAAAATAAATTCTAAATTTGACAAAATAAAAAAATAATGTTTTACATGTATAAAGCTCTCTCGATTCGTATTCAATAAAAAAGTGACGAAAAATCGCGAAATATTTTATCTTATTCATACAATCATTTATGAAATGTCCAAAATAGTGAAGAATTTACTTCAAATTAAGCTGTTACAATTTTCCATTCTAAATGATGTAATTAACAATAACAAAATGACTGCTGATAAAATCCCCTGTTTCACATGAAACCGCTAACCGGCTGTTAAACAGCCCTGACTTATCCAGGACTTAATCCTAGCCGACGCTTTCACATGAAACAGAACTTAATCCATATTTCTGCTCTTATTTGTCGCTTACAAACCTAAATTACCTACTTAAAATACATTTGTCAACCGCTTATCAACTTCAATTACCACGCTAATAAAAAAAAATCACATCTTATAAAAAAATAAAACTGGCATTATTTTAATAATATTTACAAATTTACAACTCAAACGCGCCGTGGCTCTAGAACCGGCTGGGTGCTCCATACTCGCCAGAAGGTCCCGACGACGGTGGGGCTCCGTACGAGCTGTCTGGAGTACCGCTGGCTGGATAACCACCTTCCTCTTTCTACAAATTAATTCGCATAAGTTACTAACTAAGTTATTGGCATAAGTTATTGGCAAAAGTTGGACATAAGTTATTGGTGTAAGTTATTGGTGTAAGTTATTGGCATAAGTTATTGGCATAAGTTATTGGCATAAGTTATTGGCATAAGTTATTGGCATAAGTTATTGGTGATGCATGAATTATTTGCATGTGTTTTTGGTGATGCATAAGTTATTGGTAATTCAAAAGGTATTGGTAATGCATAAGTTAATGTTAATGGAGACAGGAGAAGTTATTGGTATTTCATTGGTAAACATTATTTAGGAGTTACCCATTACCTGAGTCTTGTATCTGATGAAGTAAACTTCAGGCTTGCTGGGCTGCGTGGGAGCCGGTGTAGGAATAACAATTTCTGGTTCAGGTTCAGGCTTCTTGACCAGTACGTAAACCAAGGTCTTCTCCTCGTTTTGCGGTTGAGCCGGAATGATGGGGGCGGTCGGAGTCGGAGGCGTAGGCGCCTAAAAATCAACAAACAAGTATTAGATAACGGATGATTGAGTAATAACAAATAAGGTACCTTGATGAATATGATCTTGTAGTGTTTCTGAGGTGGCGCTACGGTGATGGGTTTCCTGGGGGCGGGGATGTCGGTCTCCGGGGGCGGCACGTGCACGTAGACGTGCTTCTGGACGACGGGCTGTGCTGGCGGCGCTCCGTAGGAAGTCGAAGGGCCCGATGGGTAGCCGCCTCCGGGGGCGCTCGGGCCGCTGGGGGCGCTGTAGCTGTAGCCTGCCTCCGGTCGGGCCGAAGTTAGCGCCACTACACTCAGAATGGCCTGTGAACAACAATATTTAATAAGTATTTGGAATAGAATAAAAAAGAAAATGTAGGAAGAACGTTTGCTTATTATATTTGCAAAATTTTCGATTCGATTTCACATTGGCAAAAGCTAAATTATCCGAAATGTGAGGCAATAAATGAACGTATCCTTCATTAAATTTTAAAATTAAGGATGTATCGACATGCACAACATAATTACTAGAAAGTTCGGTTGATTATTTTATTATTTTTATTAATAATTTCTTTTTTTTTTCATGATTGTATAATATATACAAAAACGTTATTATACGGTTTCTTGGCTACGAAAATGACACATTGTATTAAATTACTCGTTTAATGAAAATAAAATTCCCCTTCGAACAATTATTTTATATGAAAGGACGATTTACAAAACAAGCAGATGATCATTAATTTAACTTTTTCTTGAAAATTAAAAGAAAAATATAGCATTAGCAAACCTATTGTTGCATAATGCTTGAATTTAATTTTTAGAAAAGTATTCCTATTGCAATTTTAATCCAATTTTCTAATTTGTGGAAATTAAAATTTTATAATTGCTGTAGGTTTGGCTTTAGTTGATACTTAATTATTTTTATTTATTACTTATTATGTTAATAGCTAATAAAAATTAGCAGTGTACAATTATATGGGAAAATCTAGTAGATAGTTGTTAATATGTATACATTGTAAGAATTAATATTATTGCAATAAAATAATCAATAAATCATATTTTGGCATACGCTAAATATTTCCTAAATTGCAATTACTTACTATTTATTGCCTATGCGATTATTACTATTATTAAAAAGTATTGTATGAAGTATTATTAGTAAAAAATTTATAACAGTTTAATTTTGCAACCAGCCATCAATAACGTTTTCAAAAACTTTCTATCTCGATTCGACTAATTATAAATAAAGCACTTGATGGTTTCTTACGTGTTATACAGGAGAAAATAAAACTTGTAATTAGATGAGGCTAATATCCGGCTTTTTAATTATTGTTTTTGTCCGATAAATAATTACGTTAAAGTCTAAATTGTTTCACGCTTTAAAGTATTATAATTTACAATACAAAATTGTTTTGTACAATTGAATTCAGAATATTTTTTTTGTTCATATTTTATGTTTTTTTTATATTTAATATTTTTATTTAATTTTTTGTATTGTTGTTATTTGCTCGGTTAATATCAGTTAAATAAAATAAATAAAATATATATTATATTTAGCTACTAGTTTTAAAAATTAAAATGGTAATTGACTCTTTAATAGCCTTTGAAATTAACAGTTTTTAATTGATTTAAATAAATGGAAATAAATAATTAATTAAATATTTTTAGATTAATATTAAGCTTATACCTACTACTTCTGATATCATATTATTGATGAGTTACTAATAAATTATTTCCGATGAGTTAATTTTTTATCACTATTTTCAATTTATGTATTAAATAAGAATTAATTTAAATATTTAAGTAACTTCTGTATTCAAATTTAACTAGTAAATACAATATTTTCATTAATAATTAAAATTGATACTTTTTTGATACTATTTTAACAAAAAAATATATTTAATTTCGAATAAAATATCCTATATTTTCGAATAAAAAATTTTCTCTTTTCTCTTCACCAAAGATAATCCTCTTATAAAAAATTCACTCCTTGATCCACTATATCACCATCACTATCACTTATTTCGTCAATCAAATGAATCAAAAAATATCAATAAAAATATTCAAAAACTTTTGGTACCTACCACAAGAATTATCATATTGAATATTCAGAAAACTACCACTAGTGAACGCTGAATCACTGAGTGGAATTTTGACGATTTTTCTATTTATACGGCAGATGGTAAAAGGGCAGTTCGCGACCGAACTAGATCCGGAGGGGGCTTCCTTCGACCGCCTGATGGATGCCATGGTTTAGATTACCCCACTCTTTTTACATAAAAAATAACAACGTCTAAGGAAGATGTTCCACAAGTGAAGTAAAAGTGTTGCCACAGACCTTGCCGCGGGTCTAATTTAATAATTAAATGTACCGAGTTATGCTCGGTATGCGACTGTCAGGACCGGTCTCCATATTATCATTTTAATTTGTATTAATAATTTTATTAGGGAAAATTATAGACAACGAGTTTTCCTAGTATAAACCTACCTATCACTTGGGGATATCTAGAATTTTTTTATATGTTATTTGATAGAATTTATTACATTTTTTTCTTTATTTTTATTTTATTTTTATGCAATTCGTCTGGAAAGTCTCCGATTGTGAAATTATATGGAGCGCATCCGCTAATAAAATTTTATTCAAATTTATGGACCGTGTTTAATACCCTTTATGTTACGTAATATTCAACACTTTTTAAATTATTTACTAAAAATTCAAATGAGATCGATGGGGTTTTCGAATTATTTTTTATTATCTACCGCTCATTAATTATGACATCAACTATATTATAGGGAAGTAGAATTAATTACGTTTAGGACATTCTGTATGTATATTTTTTACCGATACTCTAATAGTTTCTTGTTATTGCATTAGAAATGCATTGTTGCAAAATACAAGACCCTTTTCCGATATTTTATATGGGATTCCAATTGACCCAAGTTGGAGCGTTAATTTTGCGAAACGCAAATGTCGTTATAACGATATGATAATTAGTATAGTGAGTTTTTAAGACCAATAAAGACCATTACGTTCGAATTATTATAGTAACAACTTTCTCTTGTTACTCATCGATCTATTGTTCGCTTGTAAATTTTCATCGTAAAATTTCCGCAACGCGGATCATCGGTTTCCAGCTCATGTTCGGCCGATAGACCCGTCTTCAAGGATTTTCGATACGTGAAAATATTCTCGGCGAAAGCGAATCGAAGTTTCGTATTGCCCTGTATGTGCTCTTGATGAAAAAAAAATCGACCAATTAGCCGGCTCTTGTCCGTTACATTACCGAAACCTTACGTAAGAGCAATCGGTTTTTTTTTCTCTTCATGCGACTCGTCCTTTCTCTGCTCATTTTTTTTGGTGCGTTTGAACAAACGTTCGTCCGCCTCCGTTTTCTCGTCGTGGAATTTTTATTTCCTCGTTGCATTAATGTCTATAGATAATAGAGCACGATCGATAATTATTGCCGCTGATAAATTATGGCAGAAATACGACTACCAAATAATTACGGGGAGCTTCGTTATTATGGGCAGTTTATCATCGATTTATGTCGAAACGGATCCGAAGAAAGGAATCCACCTGTAATTGAATTTCTGACGTAACGTAAACGTAACCTAACGGGAACGTGCTGACGTAAAGTGCGCTCATGTTCGAGAAAATTGCAGCGGCAATTTCCATTTCGCTAACATGAAGAAGCTTCTTCGGAAAATTCCTAAGAGAGAATTAGACACAAGAAGCTCCATTAAAGACATTAATATGACTCTTGTAATGGCATTGAAGGAATCAATTAAAGAAATTTGCATAGTAACGAAAAACGAAACAATTCATAGAAAATTTATAGAATTTACAGAAAATATATAGAAAACATTCCACCTCTTGCGATTGAATATCTGACGTAACTTTTAAGGTAATTTCCATTTCAATATAACAACAATATGAAGAAGCTTCTTCTGGAGAATTCCCATGAGAGATATAAGATATAAGGAGCTTTATTGAGTACATAATTATGATTCTCTTTTATGCAGGTATCGAAGAAAACAATAAAAAAAATTGCGTAGGAGTAAAATGCACGAAAAACGAAACGATTTATAGAACATTGTTTGTTTAAAATTTTCGAGCGGCACTCGTACGCTCGACGAAGCAAATTGACCTCGTTGCGTTGATTAAAATTTCATTATAACCGACAAAATTGTTTAAAAAGTAAAACTTAGTCGAGAGCACATCGAGATCCATCAAATTATGAGAGTGTTATTGCCAAAGAAGGAACATCTCGCCGATTGCGTAAAGCCCTCCTCTCACTGAATCGAGGGCAATTAGGTTTGCTTGTCCGATTTCGGCATCGACACGAAAGAAATTAAGGGACATGCTGTATAGCAGGGATTTTTCGCGAACGCCATCAAATGTTACTTTACTCGAAATTCCGGAGGAACCGAGGAATTTTAATTATTTTCGGTAGGTCTAATGCCTTCCTAATTACCCACATAAAATAGGCGCAATTTCAGCGTTTCGGGTCAATTGATATCCAGTTATTAGTTAACAAGTTTAGGTCGTGCAAAATGGACACATTAAAATTTTCACTAGTAAGAATAGTCCACGAAAGTTCACACAAAATCATTGCATAAAACATTTTTTTTTTTAGTTATTTGTGTTACTCCTCTCGCCCCAAGTTTTCGCCAACTCAAATATACTTGGGGAACTAACCACCACCGACTCAGCTTTCGGCATAACTTCTTCATCCATAACTTCAGTCCTCGTGGAATGGATAGCCAGAATAGTGGAGTACATTTTCGAAATATTAGACCTCAAAATGCGCACCATACGATTCCTGGTCACCCTCTACAACGACGACAACCTGCGTCTCTTCAAAAGGTGAGTAAAATATATACACGGTGTAACAAAAAAATGGGTCATACACTTTACCACACATTCTGCGGTCAAAATTAAGTCGGTAGGACCCTATTTACCTCTCCAAAATGACTCCAGAACATGTGTTATAATTTATGGGCCCACTTGTTACACCCTGCATAATCATATAAACTAAATCGATATATTTTTAGGTACATAGGAATAGGTCAGAGCATCATCCAATGGCTGGCCAATGTGGTGCCCAGCAGCACCAGCGAAGCCTCGCTGAGTTTCTTGTCCTTCCTGTTCCCTCAGCAGAGCCACGCTGAGACGGAAGAGGTGGTGCACGAAGAGCACGCGATAAGACCTTCTGAAATGCCGCCTTTGGTGCGCGATGAAAGGCCGATGGTTAGGGAAACTAAACAGGAAAATTATCCGAAACCCGCCGAAGAGAGCCCGTTCGCCGATCAGGTGAGGAGTCTGGATATGCTGATAAGAGCCCAGAAGAGGAACATGGGGAATTAGATGTTTCGAATGGATGATGCTTTTGGTTGTTAAAGGGAGTTGTTTGGAGATTTTATGAAGAAATTGCGTAATTTATTGTTGAAAAAATTTGAAAATATACGAATTTTTTACTTATTAATAATTTTTATACAACGTTATATGTCGAACGAAGAAAGTTCAAAATCCAATAAGTGACTGTAAATTTCCCCAATTAAATGTTACATTAATTTTACGAGTGTTTTTAATTGTTTACGACATTCCTAGGTCTGTCGCATTGATTTATATCGGTAGTAAATTCGGTTTAATCGATATGGAAGAGACGGTTAAAATTATATGCGATGCTCCAATCGATAATTATCAGTTAAAATTCATATTTTGTCGCCAGGAAACATTTTATTGGCATTTACATTACCATGCAATTGTCGTCTGTCGACTTTCTCTTTTATTTATTATTATTCAAATTGTTAATAAGTATTTTTTACGGCTGCATTTTCTTTATCCTTCTTGGATCAGTACCAAAAGATATCCTAACGTTTTCCTCTGGTTTGCTAGAAGGATGAACAATAAAACAGAATTTATCGAAAATAAATTTAATAAAATAAAAAAAACAGATAGAACATCGGCACAGTTTGTTATCGGAATGAGAAAAATGGATTATCCGGTAAGCGTGTTACGCAAGAAAAAATATACCTGGTGAATTATCAAAGGCACGTAAGCACCGTGTACGTAAGTTAATACCATGTTTTCTTCTTGTTTTACCTCATTTTCGCCATGATAAAGTGACGATGCGTTATTTTTCAATCGAATTATGGGCTACTTTAAATACATGTTTTCTAACGATATCTTGCGAAATTATATTTACAATTTAATTCGTATTATTAGCCAATGTTCATTGAAGTAAGTTTTTCTTGTTATACACAGGATTGCTAAGAAGCTATTTCATATATTCTTAAATATATTCTTCTATAAATATATTCTTAAAAAAATAGGTACTATTTGCATATAATCTTTAGTTTCTAAATATTCTAGAGTGCACAAAGTTCTGGAATAATTTGGAGAAGAAATCCGTCACTTCAGTAACATCGAATGAAGAAGATGAAGTTGTTTTGTTAGGTACATTTTTAACAGTTTGATGTATATTCGTTGCACTATCAACGCTAAGAGGTACTGCAATAACCTCATCATTGGACTCCACAAGATTATCATTATCGCTCTTTCTCAGTGCAGTAATTATCGGTTTAGGCTGAAGATTACTTTTACTTTTGCTAAGATATTCCGTTTTTTCCACCACTTCAAAAGGCGAACCCGGCTTGGATTCGATCACAATATACCCATCGTTTGAATCAGTTTTCTTCTCTCCTGACGCACTCAAATTTTTAATAACGCTGTTGATTCTTTCTCTAATTGCAGAATTCTCATTTGCTCCGGAAGAAGTCAAGTTGACAACAAAAACATCGCTATTGGCAGGCGGAGGGATTATTTTACCGAATTCCTTCACCACGTGCAAACTGCCGGCGCTGTTCTGGTGCTTGGAAACGATCGCTTTGAAAGCCTCATCGTCCGGAACGTTAAAATTGGAATCCTCCGTGGATTGGATATTTCCGTGTCTCGAGTCGAGGTCCATTCGCAATTCCGAGGGAGCCGCCAAATCGGAATGATGTACATTTTCTCTAACTTTCTCCACCAGCGATCCGAGCAGCCTCCTCTTTTCGTCTACGGTAAGCAGACCCCCGAAATGCTTGCTCATCTCCGACCATTGAGTTAGGAACGAATGGTCCGACTGTTGCTGGGAAATCTTGGAATTCGCCACTCCTGATACTCCTGTTGGTTCTGCTGATCCTGCGTGAGTAGTTTTTATTTGCTCGAATTCCAAGAAGTTTTTGGAAGTGTACGGTGCTTCGTGGCCTGCAATTAAAACATGATGAAATATCAAAACACCCTGTGGATTTTAGTTCTTACCAATTTTTAGATCAGGCTTGTTGGTGTTTGTGTTGTAGGTATATTTTACTGTGCTCTCTGTACCTAAAAAGAGTGCATTAAATTTAATTTCTTACATCTCTGTTCGTTTGATACATACGTTTCATATGATCTTCTGGTTTGAAAATATACTTGGGAATTTCTATAGTTTCTTCATTATGATTCAAATTAACATTGTGTACATCAGTTTCTTCTGTTACACTGTAATGATGACTGGGGTTTGCATGAACTACAACATTTGCTGTAATAACACCAGGCGTAGAAGTACCTAGGTGTACTTCAGGTTTATAGGTTACATGCTCTTCAGGCTTCGATACCACTATGCGATCAGTTTCAGTGATCAAATGGGTTTCAGGACGGAACGAAATTTGGTAATGACCAGGGTGAGAATCTACCACATGAGTTTCTTCGGTTATTATTGTGTGTTCTTTGTGATGTTCAGGTTTATGTTCGGGTTTGTGTTCAGGTTTGTGTTCTGGTTTATGTTCTGGTTTATGTTCGGGTTTGTGTTCAGGTTTGTGTTCAGGTTTATGTTCTGGTTTGTGTTCTGGTTTATGTTCTGGTTTATGTTCTGGTTTATGTTCTGGTTTATGTTCTGGTTTATGTTCGGGTCTATGTTCAGGTTTATGTTCTGGTTTATGTTGAGGTTTATGTACAGGTCTGCGATGAGGGATGTACGGTTTATAATCAGGAATTATGTAATGGTATATACAATTTGGGTCTGATATTGAGTGATGATAGTGAGAATGCTGGGTGTTTCCGTTCGGAAAATAGAATGTAACATCGCTATCGCCTATCGTCATCGTTTGAGAATTGTAATCGGTTCCCAAAAATTGTCGAATAAGAGGACTACTTCCAGAATTTCCACCATATTCGCCGAAAATTCTGTATACTGTACTCGATTCGACTAGTAACGGTATGATGAGAACTATTAAAGATTTTATCTGAAATTGTATGAAATAACCAATAAAATTTAATAAAATCTAATTTAGTAAACTTACCAGATGCGACATTTTAGTGAAGACAACGCTATTGATAACGCTTTAACACTTAATAACAACAATTTCAAACATACTTAGTTAGATATCCTGCAAAGTCGCCTTAATTTATTATAAATGTAATTTTAATAGTCGTAAGTTCCAAAAATATATCAACATATTCTTCTTACAGTTACTATTAAGCAGCTAAGAATTTTTCAATTATATACACATCATTAATTCGAATAGGTAACTTTATTTGTTATTAGACAAATTACATAGATATTGGTTAATTGAAAATATTGCTCATAAATGCGTAATTTTGGCACACTGAAAGATGGAAATATACAGGGTGTTTCATATAATATCTTGTGTTACAATAAATGGATTTCATTTAGATTACTACATAGAAAAATAATCTTATTTTTGTATATTTTTTGAGTCCGTTAAGGGATGCTAAAATCGAACACACTGTATAAACAAAAATGTTTGTTTTTTTAATTCCTAATTTTAGGCATTCATTTAAGCAACAATAGTACATATAATTACATTAAATTTGTTAATATAATTTATTGTTGTGAGCCTTCAAACTCACATAATAAGACACATACAGAATAGTTTATAAGTATCCTAATACCCATAATATTACATTTAATCAACATCGAAAAATAAATTCCATTAAATAAACTCTTTACATCTATATAATATTGCTCTATTTTTAAATTGACTCTTTCAGTTTGCTAAAATTTGTTAACAATTAACGACTTTTTTTGTGGAATTTTCTCGAGTCGCCAAATAAAAACGGATACACTGATCCTAAAAAAATTCTTATATACACATAATTGTTTTGGTGCTTTATTCAGTTGCCGTTATTTCGTCTGCAGAAGTCCTCTTGTGTTATTATTGCTGGTCTTTTTCTTTGCCCGATTTGATGGCTTCCCTTTTGTAGAAGAGCTTGCTTTCCGGATGCCACCTAGGCACGTCTCCCATCTCCTCCTTCTCCAATTCGCTCTCCAACAGCTGCAAAACCGACCAAATTAATCACACAAATTTCGCACGGGTTAAAAAATTGAGAGAAAATTCGAGCACCCCAGGTTGTGGACAATTACACGCGTTACGTGGAAATATAATCCGAAGGCTGTAATCGACTTTTGAGAGGTGTGGTAATTTCGGTAGAAAAAGCCGTTACTTTTTTATTAAAAATCGTTAAATTCGGATTGATGAGCACTTGCTCTTCCTTCAATTTCGTCCGGTGAAAGTCGATCGGACGCATTCACCGCCCTAATTAGGCTGCATGTAATTACTGTAACTCGTTCCAGGTAGAGACCTTCAGAAGGTCGAATGCAGGCAGTACCGGATCGCAGGAAAATCATCAATTCGAATCTTTTTCTACTAATACCTGTAACTCGTAGAGAAGGAAAATCTCCCTTACTATTTCAAATAAATTACCGAAAGTTGTGATATGGCATGGTAAATGGAAGGCTGTGGTTAAAATTTGCAGGAATTAATGATTTTCTAAATTAAAAAAGTCTTATACGCCACTGGTTAGCGGTAATAAAACCGAATAACATTCTTTTAATTCAAATTTGATTACATTACACCAAAATTAAAATATTTAGTAAGTATGCAGTGTATCTACCTTTCTATTTCTGTTACCCAATACAAAAGCACTTAACGAAATTACCGAAGGAATATTACAAAATATCCACCGCATGTAATATGTAATGAAATTAGAATTATCGGGTTTTTAATTTTATACACTGCAGCAATTTTTCTCTTTCGAGCGATTAAAAAGTACCTAATTAAAACATCACGAGCGCGAGCAAGTGTCATTAAAAATATTATGCGATGATCTATCCGATGTGATGACCAGATAATTGGGTGAATTAATTCTTGCCAAACGAAAATTAATTAAATTTTTAATGAGAAACTAAAAATTAATCACATTTTTGAGGTGAACGCTGTCACGTTAGGGAATGATTTAAGTGATACATTTGATCTTTCTGTGATGAGCTCATGATGATGATTCTTTTCTGTCACATAACATCGACAATACATTTATTTCCAATTACTCAAATGAGAAATTTTGAAACAAAGAAAGACCAAAATATTGTAACGTTGAGCTTTCTCTTTCGTTCCTCATCGCTTTTTATGTACTTGCCCGTGGAAATAAATGATGCGAATTTCATGTGACTTACCGAATAAACTTTACTCACTTCTTTGAGGAGCTCCCTCAGCTTCTCTATCCTGTCCCCGTTCGCTCTCGTCGGCAAATATCTACCCTCGACAGACGAGTCTAGTGCTATCGCCAAAAAGACCAAGAAAATCGCACCGAAGACGTACGATTTCGATATCATTTTCTACTAAAATCCAAACGAAATAGTTATCGATTATTAGCGAAAGAGGAAAATGGCTCGACTCACTTTAGAATCTGGGAATTGACAATAAAAATCGGAGTGCAGAAGACCCGTAGGAGCACAAATTTAGCCTGGTGCAGAAAAACTGGACGGTCCTTTGCAGGAATTTTCCGCTTTATATGGAGCAGAGCAGCGTGGGCGCAGCGCAGGGTCACAGAGATTTCATTCGGAAATTTTCCCTAATCTCCAAATTTCTGGAAAACAGGCCGGAGGAGTATCCCAACAACGGTTTCTCTATACCACACCACAAACATAACTATAGATTATACAATTAATCTAGATTAAAAATAGCGAAAAATGGAAGATGCAGATAATGTACAAATTTTCCCTATACACTCCTAGTTAATACCAGATTAAATAATTTATTTTGCATTTGATTAGAGAGACAGATGGAGCAAAAGTTTCACGCTGCTTAGATTTCTGAGAGACAATTTTATTGTTGATGCCGTCTGGTCCCGAATCCCCGGGTACGTTCCCAGCTTCCCCTCTTAATCCCACGACGGCGACGCTCGGCGTCGTTTCGTCTAGCCAGTGCGGCGACTGGGCGGACGGAAATACATAAACGCGGCGTCTAATGTTGTTGTTTCATGGGATTTTTTTTGAGTTTATATGCAGGAACAAGCATAGGGAAATCGATAGAAATTTAGGGAAATGTTAGCGAGAGAGGACTGATTGAAGGATTTAATGACTAGTTTATTAGTTAGAGTGAAATAAAAATGTCGTGTCTGCTCTTAAAAATCCTTCACTTGTCTGAGTATCGTTCCTAATTCATATTTTTTTAAGAATATTAAATGAAGGTAGATTCATATTTGGTTTGTGATGAAAAAATAAACAGCTCAAAGTCGACTCGTTTAATCGTGTAATAATATACATATAAAAACATAAAAAATCATCTAAACTAAACCTACTAAAAAAGTAAATTTTCTTAGAAAATATTACTGGGCGAGATTTACAATCTCGTAGCTTCTGAGCTGGTTGACACCACGTTCTTCGCGTAATCACCTCTTGAAGTCCTGGCGCTGTAGTACCCGAAATTCGGATCCGATGGACTGATTTGCACCGTTTGTTTGGCGGTTTGGAAGAATCGATCAGTCGATGCAGCTCCTTTAAACAGAATCGCAATGTTAGAAAAAGCAAATCTGCTCCAAAAATGTCCTGAGAGAAACTTTCGAGTTTAGTTCAGAGACATTTTTCACAGGAATCAAAGAGGAGAACCTGGAGAGGAATTATCCAAACATTCGCAAGAGACACTCGATTCTGACGATCCTTCATGGGAGTACTTAGGTACTGATAAAAGACTTTCTGTAGACTTCGTAGGTTGCATGTACCTAAAAATACTAAATATAATGAGTAATTCAAATAGTGTGGTACTAAAATGTACCTTCTGTGCGTGTGTGGTGTATACTGGGGTTGTCCACTACAACTATTTTGCTTATCCATCCTACTGTATTGTGTTCCTTGATTTTTCGATGTCGATCTGGAGTTTTTGCTACATTTAGAAGAAGTATCCAAATAACCATAACCAAAAGCGTAACCTCCGAAAGCTTTAGTAGCTAAATTATCCCAAGACTTAGGTTTCACCTAAAAAAAATCAATCTTATAACTCTAAAAACCCACTCAACAAACGACTCTTACCTGATTATATTGAATATAAATAGTCTCGTACTGTTGGGGTTGATGCGAGTACCTTTGGCTCTGGCTATCGTGCTTATTAGATTTGATGCTTAATTGTCTAGAATTATCACAGGATCCGTCCCAATAGAGCGTATCGGTGCTCAGGGACGTCGTATAACTGTTGGCCGAACTCTCAGCCAGCGTCGTCGTCGTCGGCACGGCGTTGCTCAACTCGCTCGAAGTGCACGAATGCAAACTGCACTGGCTGACGATCCCCGCTCCCATGTGGAAATACCTACGAGCAATCCATCAAGTACCGGAATAATACATAACGCGAGAATGATGTAGTACCTCCTGGGCGCCGAGAACGTCTGCGTCTCGGCCACAGTCTGCGAGGCCTGCGAATGGGGCCGCGGCCGCGGTTGCTGCGGATCGGTTTGAGTCTCCTCGGTCTTGGAGTCCCGCCGGCGCGACTCCTTGTGGCTGCGCGACCGCCGCCTCACCGTCGGCACGCAGCGGGGATCGCAGCAGGGGCTCGCCAAATCGTAGGCGTCCAGGCTGTTGTTGTCGCCGTTGCTGGAGCCGCCCGAGCGGATGCAGGGGCTGCACAGCTGGCCTGCGTATCTGCATCGCCGAAATGTAACAGCTTCATGTCAATGATATGGAAGAATCATTCAAGAAAAGGAGGGAAGTTTGGAAATGTAACAGCATAAGATCAGTGATGGAAGAATCGTCCAGGAAGAGGAGAGATGTTTGGAAATGTAACAGCATAAGATCAGTAATTATCCAGGAAGTGGAGGAGAGTTTGCAGATATCATGCTGATAGTAGAGGGATATTTGGAAACGTAACAGCATAAGATTATTGATGGTAGAATCATCCAGGGAAAGGAGGAAAGTTTGGAAATGTATTAGCATAAGATCAATGGTAGATGAATCTTCCAGAGAGGAAAAGAAAGTTTGAAATGTATCAGCATAATATCAACGATGGCAGAATCAGCCAAGAAGAGAATGGAAGTTTGGAAATGTAATAGTATAAGATTAATGATGGCAGAATAGGAAAGTATGGAAATGTAAGAACGTAAGGTCGATGATTGCAGAATCTTCCAGGAATAGGAAGAAAGTTTGGAAATGTAACAGCATAAGATCAATGATGACAGAATCATCCAAGAAAAGCAAGGATTAGATCGTCCTCCAAACTTCCTCGTGATAGTGCAATTTAAGGTGAGTGAATGGGAGATTTTTACGGACCTTTGGCAGAACACCGGGGGTTTCTTGGCCTTCTCCGGTCTGGTTTGGCATCCTCTGGTTTGTTTTTGATCGCACGGCGTCTTTACCACGAAATTTTGCATGTCTTTCAAATGCGAACCGGTCGGTTCGAACGTGAGAAGGTACTCTCCACTGCTACTCGTGGATTGGTGAAGAACGTATCTAAAAAGCATTACATTTTTAACCGTTCCAAAATGAGCTAAAGCTAAGAGATCAACCAGAAGAATACATTTTTACTTACTAGTAGATATAGTAAAAAAAATAAAACAAACATAAAAAAAACTAAATAAACCTTTATTACAATAATAAGGAAAACATAAATAAATAAAAAAATAATATATAGGGTATGTTTAACATAAACTAACAATTCAACAGTAAATTTGATACCTACATTGTTTCAAAATAAATCAATATTCTGGTGTAGAAACGCAAATACTTACCTATAGCGTGAGTCTAAATATTGATAAGCGAACGCCAAAGGTGGTGTAATCTGTTTCTGTTGCACCACTTTGGCCACGTCCTCCGTGGAAACGGTAGGCCTGCAGTAGGAATATGATGTTTGCGTGGGCGTCGGGGGTTCCCCGTTGCCGGCGTGCGACGCCTTCTTCCTGGCCGGCAGGCTGTGCGTCTTCCACTTGCCCTCGACCAGGTGGCGCTCCTTGACGCACAGCCGCTCCAATTCGTCCATCTTCGCCTGGAGGACGCGCTGCAGCTGGATGTAGCGCATGTGGAGCTCCACCTTGCGGACGCAGTCCTCGAACAGGACGACCATCCGCATGCGGGACTCGCAGTTCTTTATGTAGGTGACGAGGGTTTTGTGGTCGGCTTTCTCCATGTCGGCGCCGTTTATGGAGAGAATGACGTCGCCCTCCCTCATGCCGGCCCTGTAAGCAGGCCCATCGTAATCTACGTAATCTACGTACGTGATCATTTCTAGAAACGAATTGGAGGTAATTAATATTTTGAGACAGAAGAGGATTGTACGAAGAGTACCTATTTCTTTTTCCTTTTTGTAATGGATCCCATAGCTTTGTAAGGTGAAACCGAAGCTCCCGTTTTTCTTTTCTACTATTATTGTCCTTCGCCTTCGGTCTTCTTCTGGTTTTGTTACCGTAACTCTATCTGATTGGACTCTATCCAAAATCTGGGACTAAAAAAAATCATTTGGTTAAATTTCTGTATCTACTTTTCAAGCTCAATAGCAAACCACTAAAGCTTGAAGGTTTTTCAATGTAAAGTGATTGAAAGTGAATAATAAAAGTGAATAGAAAATGGATGGAATAATTATTAAAACATTTGATGGGTATCTCAAATGCATTGTTTCCCTATATCCCCCTTCTGATGATATCTATTTTTATATTTTTTCTTTGAAATATTATCATAATTAGATTATAATGCTATGTTAATATAACAACATTTGCTCGAATTCAGCATTTATTTCTACAAACAAATCACCTTGTAAATTTCTCATAACTACAAAAATGTTCGATTCATCTGAATTTACCATTCTAAAAGTCCCAGTCACCTTGCACCGCAAGTACGGACGGAATAAAAAACGCGATGAATATATAAAAAATTCTCATTAAAATTCGCAATTACGAGCGCCAGGTAGATAAACAGGTAAGGTAATTTACCGCGTTATTTGCGCTCTAAACAAAACCATATGATTCACTGGAAAGAATCGAAATGCGTGAAAAAAAATCGCAAAAACTCACCGGGGACGAGGAGGCGGCTTCATCTTCGCTCTTCTCCTGCTGGCTCTGGTTCTGTGGGGTCCTTCTCATTGTCTCAAATCGCCGAAACCACCGCGAAATATGGCATATTTCCGACGAAAACAACTCGACTTTCAGACGTCGCCGTCGGCCATATTGGTGGACGACGTCATGCGTCGACGAGCGTCGAATAGGGCCCGAGTGCTCAAGCGTCGACTGGCGTTGGGAAAATTCTCGAGGCACGCGAGTTTTCCCTGCTTTGTCGTGCTGCTTTAGCGCGCAACCAGTTGATAATGTTTGTAAAGTATTCTAATGTGTTGTTGTGCGACAACGCGCACTTACCTGTACAGGGTGTGACACTGAATATAGGCGGTCAATGTCTCCGCGTTCCTATTGTTTTTATCGTAATGGGAATTTGTGTTCCTAATTTAGAAAGCAAAATTGACACGTATTGTCGATTAAATATACGCATACGAGCCTTGTATGTAATACACCAGTAAATTATATTCCTAAATAGAGCTAAAATAAGTGTACCTGTAGAGAATTTAATGATCATACATGGGCGTCGAAAGAGGAGGGATTGAAGAAGCATTTTGTTTAAATTAAAAAAGATTTTATTTTTATTTTTGAAGGCTCTAGTGATTCTGAAATATTTTATAATAATTCAATAAAATAAATGAAAAAGTGAATCCAATGGCAGAAGTCAATATCTAACTAATAATTTTAATATCTTGTACTTCCCATAAAAAAAATCTAGCAACTCTTTAGCCTCATTATTTTTTGAATAATTACCCTGTACTTCACTGCGAAAATTCTGCGTTACTATTGGTCAACTACCTGTCATATCCAACCAATCTGTCATACCTAAACCAATAAGAAGGCAGAAACCATTTTACCTTTATTCAAATTTCTACTCATGATAATTCATTTATTTAACTACGAGTTCTCATAACTAATGTCCAAAAATCACAAAATTAAATAAAACCAGAATATAGCTAGGTAAAAGTGATTAAAAGAACGCTTGTATTTGAATTTGGCGCCCGAACTCAAAAGAACGTTCCCGAACATTATTTTAGTACCAACGTCACGGCGCAGAGTGCGCTTCGGTAGCGCGCCATTACGTTATTGGAGTAGAAGAATTTAGTGTCGACGTGCGTTCGGTTAATTGTTGCCAATCTCGCAGTGGTGTTTGTCTCAAGAAGCGTTAGTTACGTAAATCGTAGTGTTTGACATACATAAAAAGTCATAAAATGACAGTTACGCCATTGCCAGAAATTTGAATAAATAAAAACATTGGTAAATGTGATGGTTTGCGTGGAGAGATTCGTGTTTTTCCTTAGTTGAAAACGTTTTATTGATGACTGAAAACAACATGCCCGCCTCGATCGGTGTGAACCTGCGTGTTACAGGACATTGTCGCCAAGGTGGTAGAAAATATATGGAGGATTTCTTTTCGGTTGCATATCAACAAACGGAGGACGAAAAGGATTTAGAATACGCGTTTTTCGGTATTTACGATGGACACGGAGGAGCAGAAGCAGCGGCATTCGCTAAGGAACATCTCATGGAGACTATTATTAAGCACAAAAGTTTTTGGTCTGACGACGATAAAGACGTGTTGAGGGCTATTAAAGATGGTTATATTGCCACTCATTATGCTATGTGGAGAGTACAAGGTAAACAAACAACGATATATCCTTATTAAAACTATATTGTGCAAAAGTTTTCGTATACGATACTCATGATTTATTGATATAATAATGTAAACAATGTGCTTTTCCAGAGAAATGGCCTCGAACTGCATCAGGTCTACCTAGTACTGCAGGCACGACAGCTAGTGTAGCTTTTATAAGACGCGGAAAGATTTATATTGGACATGTCGGTGATTCCGGAATAATATTAGGTAAATATGAAAGTATTTTCGTAAAGTAATCGTACTACTTGCATCGTATGTTCTAGGCCTACAAGAACCTGGTTGTTCCGAGTGGAAAGCTGTACCGTTAACAAAGGATCACAAACCGGAGAATTTCGATGAAATGGTTCGGATTAAAAATTGTGGGGGAAAAGTAGTTTCGAAATCAGGTAATTCTTATACAACTCCATCAAAGCAAGTTTATTAAATTTCATATTGTAGGTGTACCTCGAGTGGTGTGGAACAGGCCGAAAATAGGCCACCAAGGCCCCGTACGTCGTTCGACGCCCATCGACGAAATCCCATTTCTAGCGGTTGCCCGAAGCCTCGGAGACCTTTGGTCATACAATTATCAAAGCGACAGTTTCATAGTTTCCCCTGACCCCGATTGTTCTGTTATCAAGATCAATACCAACACGCATCGTTGCCTCATATTCGGAACAGACGGTTTGTACAACATGCTCAGCCCCTCGATGGCGGTTCACATAGTGCAGCAGGTGGAAAGGCACAACGAAAACGCCGCTTTAAGCGATTCCACGTACAAAACGTGGCTTAATCCCAGCAAGCTGTTGGTTGAGAAAGCTTTAGAGCGGTGGCATTCCACGAAAATGAGGGCCGATAATACTTCTGTTGTTACGTTGATGCTGGATCCTCCGGGGCCACCCAGGGCGCAAGTTTTGAAGGATAGAAAAAAGAATTTGCCTGAAAGAGGTTAGCTCGAGAGTTGGTTGAATCGATTCGTATTAATTCGTGATGTTTTAGGTTTGAAGATAATGACTAGATTCGATAACGAACCGTCTCAGGATACCGATTCGAGTAATTGTGATACAAGTCCTCGGGAAAACCCCGACGAAACCCTGTCTCAAACTATGTTAGAGCCCGCGCCTGAACCGAGTCCTGTGCTTAAACCAACTGCCATTGTTGATTATTCTAATAAAGATGAAAATAAAACCGATTGTATATCTAATCCACCAGGTAGTCGATTACGAAATTTGAGTATGTGCGTTTTAATTTGTTATTTGCGATTCCAGAAAGTACATCTGTTTCTTCAAGTGACCTTATGACCAACAATTTTCCCCTAAAAGAACGGAATTTCCTCCAGAAACCCCGAGAGAACACTGGCCCTTTGAACAGCGGAAAGGAAAATTTCAAATCGCAAAATACCGAAGATAACATACAGTGCAACGAGGTATCATCTAGCAACATTGAAGTAGATAGTTTATGTATAGAAGAAGAAGAAAACGATGTACAAGGAAGAAACAAGCACAATTTGCGGAGTTGCCGGAAGGACAAAAGTGATATCAAAGTTGCTATGAATAAAAACGAATCCGACAATAAAAACAAGGTACTTATTAATTTCTTCTTAATTTTCGTCAAAATTCCATTATGTATCTCTTAATTTTAGGGTACAAAAACGAAACTGGACCAAACCACCGGCGCCCTGGAGGCGCCGCGGCCGCGGAAGAGCATGAGAATCGATAATAACCTGAAGAAAGCGGAAGAAACCGTGGAGAAGGAGCGTCGCGCCTTCGAAGCCGAGGAGAAACTCAAGAAGCTCGCGGAAAAGGCGGATCTAGCCAAACGGAAGAAAAGCACCGGCTCGCCTTCATCCAGTCTCTCGCAGAAGCTCCAGAACCACTATTCGAAAACCAAACAGAAAGAGGCCGTTTTAAACAAACCAATTGCTAAAAATAAAATTAAATACATGATGAACAAAGTCAAACGAGTACAAAGTAAAGTGATATTTAGAACACAGAGTGTGAAGCCAGCAAAAAATCAGGTTCGTATGAAACAACACTTCAATCTGTTCGAGTACTATTAGCTTAATTTTCTAGAAACTTATGAAGAACTTGAAGATGATAGCGGAGAAAGCCATGTTACAGAAGCACAACAAAAGGAACCCTTCGCAACGCCAAAGAAAAGTAACAGTAACGGAGACTCCGAAGAAAACTGGTCCAAAATTGAAACCAAAGTTCAATTCGAAAAGTGCTGAGAACGTTACGAAATTAAATACGCCTAATTTGAGGCAGAGCTCCAGGCATAGCAGTCCAACTAAATCAGGTAAATTACTTGTTTATTTATGATTCATTTATGAGTTACAAATTTGTTGGAATTGTAGGTCCATCAGGTATGGTACAAAATGATTTGGAAATAAGTCAGAGTGAAAATAAGTCCCAAACGAGGTCTTTGAAGAAGAGGCTTCAACAGAAAACGGAGAGTCTAAAGCAGAACGTGATGAAAAGAAAGTAAATTAAATCTTGTTAATTGTAATAAGAATCAACATATTATTTTTAATCTAGTTTTTTAAGATAGAACACAATTTATATTATACAAAAAAACAGAGTTATGCATGTTTATTTTCCTATAAATTATTTTAGTTCTGTTTTAGAATATTAGTTTTTATTTTTACTACCGTGTAAAGAAGTTGTGTATCATAGAAAAAAATCATGTTTTTACTATTTTACTACAATTTTATTATTTCTCTGTATACATTTTTTACGCGGATATTATTTTTCTGTCCGACTATTTTTATTTTTTTTGGGAACTATTATTAACTATTATTTGCAACTTATCCGTTTTTATGACAAATTCGTGCCTTTGTTACCAAAATAAATCTATTGAAAAGTGAAAATGTTACTTATGTACACATAGGCAAATGAAATATATTTATAAAAATTTATTATTTTCTCAAAATAAAGTTTATAGTTAATAAAATACAGATGGATTTTTTTTCTACAAATCTTTACTTATGCGTAGTAACTCAAATAAGTAACTTCAAGAGTTATAAATGAAGAAAGTTAAGGTAATAAATTGTTATCCATTATAATCTATTGTTGTAAGTCATTCAAATGTTTTTTTTTAATTTGTGGCTTTGTATATTAGACAAGTAAAAAAAGGATTATTAGAAAAAAAAATTAAGAGATGAAGATGAAGTTTCCTTGTAATATGAAACGAAATAATTATAATAATTCCCTTTTTGCCCTTTCACATCAAATGCATATCGTCAATAATAATAGAGAAAAAAAGTAATTCTAATTACATTTTGTCTATGCAAGAGACAAGAATAGTTCATTTTACGTCTTTGTGGTCTCATACATATTTAAGTTGGCACACACTGCTTGTCAAAATGTCACACGTCAGGTCGATTATGTTGGGGGAACAAAGATAGGAACAAACGTAAACGTCAACTCCTTTAGGAGTTCTTCTCCTATCGAAAAGATCCTTTCCCCTCTGTTGGCCCCACCGCTGAAAATTATGCGCTGCCGGTCGTCTTTCAACCGAAGCAGATCAACAACGCCCACTTTTCGTATATATAGATATATCGGACCGTCCGATCGGACTCGATTTCCAAGGATATTTCCACGATAAACTGCAGTTTTTCCCCAACGAATTATCCCGTTTACGCATCGCACGTGGCCGTGGAGCGCCCGCCGCCCGTTTACTTCATTTAGCTGAAAAGAGACCGGGAACGCTTATCCGCATCGAAACTACAAAGAATTATTGATTGACAATAAGCAAATTGACTTTTCAGTTTGAGACGTTCGCGGCGTTTGGGATTATTTGAAAACAAAAAAAAACCCAACGAGCGGGTCGCGATTGTTGCGAAACAACAATTCGTGACTTCCCCCCGCGTTTTTTCCGCTCAAAAACCCCGCATCGCGCTAAAGAGAGTCGTAAGTAGACAGAAATTATTCAAAAAGAGATAATAGGTTAGCGCGACCGAATCGACCTTATCCGGAGGTTATCGAAGGTCGAGAATCGCCCGGCGCACGTCCTAACCTCAAAGTAAATGTTATTTTTTTGTGTATCAAATGACGCTTCCTGGCGACCAATCGGATCGTCCGTTGCCCTGCCCCTGCTGGAGCGAACCCCGTTTTTACCCATCAAGTGAAATTGTTAAAAGGTACGTAGAATTTTATTCATTTTATGTTGAAAACCGTGTGGGCCGGAGTTCCATCTTGTTTATTGTTAGAAACGAGCCGAAAACGGCACGTTATCGGATGAGACGATTATATTTTTAAGATGATGGACCTGCACGATCGAATGCACGGATTTTTACCTTGGGTTTCTTTGTAACCTTACTTCGGTATCGATTTTTTTCCTATAGACGCGCCGTTCGCGGCACCGTCGATAATCGGAAATTAATTATAATTTTTTATTAATTATCGATAATATCAAACGATTAATTCGATGATCGTTTGTGATTATTTTTTTCGCATTTTATTTTTAATGTTCCTCGTCGCCCCCACTACCGCGTCTTCTCCATTTCCCCACCCCACTTTTTACCTTTGCATTCGTTTTAATGATGCATTTATGATAAACGATTAATAAATCGGTTTGATTGAAAACGCGATTTCGGCCTCGTCCGACGCGAACAGGCGAATTCCATTCGAATTTAACGGGAAACATAATGCCCCGATTGATATTTACGGATTTATTTCGATTATTAAAAATCCTTGAACAAGATGGACTGGTCCACTTTTAGACATTCGAGGGGAATGTGTCGGAGTAGAAGCAGAAGAAAAAGGCGCATCGTAAAAGATGGCGGTAGAGTGATATCTTATTTGTGGTTGCAAATTTGCGAAATTAATAATAAACAAATAAATTTGACCGCTAATTGAGAGGCGAGTGCGACAGTTTGGCCGATAACGGTTCGAATTCGTCGGTCGTTATCGTTTGATCATTGAGAAAGGCGCGCAATCGGGTAAATTTTCATTTTTTCGAAGAGGTTATGTTTGCATTTCAAGTTTTCTTTATTTGTTTCAGGTTTACGCTAGCAAGATATTTGCGATTATTAGGATGCAACGGAATCGTTCGCGTTTAATTTAGTGTTTAGTGGTTTCGGTTTTGCGCGTTTGGGTGTTTACGAGCTCATAATGTCTTTCAGCCCTTTTATAAAATAATGCTGCTACCAATTTTATATTTTTTCTATGTGTACAACGATAAAATGGCTCTATTCGAGTTCGGATAAGCGAACAAACGATGTGCTCCCCGCGATTTAAGACTATTAATAGTGAGATGATCTAGTATTAAGACAACATTCCAAAGTGGACTTAATAACATTTACAAGAATGTACTTACATACAAGTGTGCTTTAATAGGGTTTAACAAGTGTTGTGAAAAAAAATGTCTCAAACTCCCCACAAGCCCATACAAAAGATGTGTAAATCTCCAAAGAATTCAACATACCACACCATTAAGCAAGAAAAGATCGAATATGAGAACCTCAGCACCAATTGCACCGTCGTGGGCTCCAATAATCTCAACCTAGTTAAAAAACCCCAAATCATAACCAGCATGTCCCCGGCGTATTCTAATCCTAGTCCTAGTTACCCTCCGTCACCTTATTCGTCACCAGCCAGTCTCAAATCTCCTTCGCCCTCTCTCAAACCGCCTACTCCTCAACCCAGCTATCCCGTCATGCAGATCATACAGAACAACATTTTGGCCAGGCCGATGCAGACAACACAACCGCAAAACATCATCAAATTAAAGCCTCATTTGAATATTCTACCGAAACCTTCTGCTAGTCCACAGCCCTCGCCTAAACCCAGTGTCAGGTAAAAATACTCCTTCTTAACCTCACACTACCTACATATAACGTTTTTTTTAATCTTGTAGTCCTCAAATTGTAATACCTACGAACCACCAACAAACAGCTACGATAGTTCCTGCGGCTCAGCCACTTCTACTCAATCAAATGCCTATGTTGACGACCCCTGGCGTACAGTTTATTCTAAGGCCGCAAACAGCCACAAAAATTCAACCCCAGATGCAGACGGCGACTGCGACGCCGCAGGGGCTGATCCTGCAGCCCAGCGGACAGCAGTTGTTGCAAATACAGCCGCCTAGGTCGCAGCCTATGGTGCGAGTGTTGACCAACGGTATGCAATTGGCGCCTTCTACTACAACTTATGTAACTCAGGTGAGTAGAAACACTGCGGTAGATTGTTTTAGAGGGATATTAACGATTTCGATTGCATTTTGAGGTGGGTCCACAGCAGGCGAATAATGCAACACATATCGCACAACAGACCATTATAAACAACCACGCACATTTGGTTCAGCAACAGCAGCAGGTGAAGAAGAAACCGAAGAATAAGGTTAAGAAGAAACTGGACCTCGCAAATATTATGAAGTTGTCAGGAATAGGTAGGGAATACATGAAATATGTAATTTGAACGTTTCTGATTGTTTTTACTTAGGCGATGAAGATGATATTCAGTTCGAAAGCGATACATCACAAAGTGAAAACGAACAAAATTCCGTTCCTACAACACCTCAACCACAACAACAGCAGGTTGTTCAAAATACAGTACAAGCTCAAACAAATTTTGTACACACCGATACTAAGAAAAATGTACAGAATATTCAAATTTCTGCAATGGCGCAGCCTACAATAAATGCAGCCACTCCTGTTGTACAGGTTAGTTTTTTATCCTTTTCCTCCTTAATTTCTACAATCTGATACCACGTTTTTCTGTTTAGGTGCTAAATCAAAATTTTCAAAGTGGAATGATCTCAAATAACACATCTCAGGCAGCTACTGCGCAAGCCGGTATACCTTTCAATTCGTTTATAGCTCCGAATTTTACTATTAACAATGGCCTAATGCTCCAAAGAAGTGGTGGATTCAAATTAACTATGGGCGAAGATGGCCGATTAGTCTTGCAACATGATCCGACTATCAATTCGGATCTTCAGTCACAAATAATCCTACAGAGTCTATTGGGTGGATTAGTTTTACAACCTTCAATGGACCAACAAACTGTACAGCAAACTGTGCAAACGATTCAGCAACAGTCTGTTCAAACAATACAACAACAAACAGTACAGAGTCAAACGATACAGACAGTACAACAACAAACTGTACAACCACAAGCTGTACAACACACAATCCAATCTATACAACCTCAGATACAGCAACAGACTGTTCAGCAAACGATACAACATCAAACTGTGAACGCTTTACAGCAACCTATGCAGATCGTACAACCGCAACCTATACATAGTATTCATTCGCAGGTGCAACCTATACATACAATGTCACAGTCTCAAGTTCACAGTTTGCAGTCACAAATACAAGGCCAAATTCAAAGTCTGTTGCAGCAACAAAATCACACTGTTCAACATTCTCACGTTCCTTCGCAGAATGTTCATTCTCAAACAATGCAAAGTGTACAGAACTTACAGAATGTCCAAAATTTGCAAAGCGTTCAGCAGAACGTTAGAAGCGTTCAGCAAAACGTACAGCAGAGTTCACATTCCCAGCCTATTCAATCGCCAGTGCAAAGTTTTCACGTGAACCAGACGCACCAGCAACATCAACCAGTATTGAAAGTAAGTCTCAACTGGTACCTTGAACGGTACATTACTGTATATTTGCATTAATTTTAGGTACAACCATTTCAAAAGTCTCAACCGCCGGTACAAACTGTACAGCCTATACAACATCATATCAACCAGTCTCAACAGCAGACCCAGCAAAGTATGAACGAATCTCAACAGAGTCAAAACAATCATCCTCCGCCAACGTCGTACGTTGTCAATTTGACGCCGGATCAATTGGAGCAATTAAAAAGAAACGGTCAATTAACCGTCAATGGTCAGACAATATTCATGCAAAGGCCCAATAAGGATCACATGGAAAAGAAATTGTCTCCTAAGACCAAAGCTATAAAGAAAGTTAGCAAGATACAAAGTATAAAGAGTATTTTACAAGTGAGTATTATTTTTTTTATTTCATAAAGTTTGTGATAATTTATTTTAGAAACCTTTTTTTGCGCAGGATACCGACGCGGATTCGGTGAAAAATAGCAATAATTTGGATGCAGTTAAGGAAAACGCAAGCAAACCTATAGTTAGTGCCTTAAACGCACCACACAAACAAGTTCTACCTCAAAATCATGTGCAAAAGCAACCGATGCAACAAAACAAACCGATACAGCCCCAAGCTATGGTCCAACCTTCGATACAAGTGCAGATCCAACCTAAAACAATTAACGAACGACCGAAGCCTGAGCCTGTACAACCCACCGCTCCTCAAGTTCCCAAACAGCAAAAAGTTGCACCCACAGTTATATCACAAGATTCAAACGGTGAGTTTTTCTACTACTACTACTAATATGCTCGAATTTTTATCACCTATTTAAATCTCTTAATAGGTAGTAACACGAACCCGGACGTTGATAAACTCTTGGTGCAAATTCTCGAAGAGTCGAACAACATTAGTAACATCGTTAGCACGGCTAGTGTAACTCCTTCGACGACTCAACCACAGCAGAGAATCACCACCATTCAGTTGACACCACAGAAGCAGCAACATTTGAAGAACATACAGTTGCAGATACAGAGCCTCTCCGCGAGGCTCACGCCGGGCGATGCGGAGACTCACAGCATGTTGAAGAATCTGTTTACGGAACAACAGAAAATTTTGGCCAGCGGGAAATTATTACCACCCGATAAGGTATGGCGATAGTTTGGTGTCTATGTTGGGCATTACTAATTGTTGTAATTCTTAGGTGTATTATCACAACAATCAGCTTACCATCGTGAATCCGTCCAGTTTAAATTCGTCGTCGCCTTCGCAAGTCAAACACGAACCAGTGCAGAGTCCTTCGTCAGGCCCTTCTACAATAAGCAATAATCAGACTATAATGCGAACTTCCAGTGTCGAAACTCAGGCTACGAGTTCACATCAGGTAAAATTTTCACTAATACTGTAAGTAGTCGAGACTTTTTCTTTGAGTAGTTGGCAATTCGATTTTAATAGTTATGATCCAATATAGTAGATTCGTACTAGTGATCCAAGATCGCTTTAATGTTCGAAATCACTTACCGAATTGATTTAAATGAAATGCTAAACAGCTTTAATAGTATACTTATTACTAATCTTCTCTAGATTAATTGACAAATATTCGAAATTCTTGAAATATCAAGCAAAAATCTAGAACTGAATCATCGAGACATTGCGACAGAAGATAAGACGACCGTCTTTATTCATTGTTGTTGATAATAATTATACGTTATTTTATACTCCAGTTTGTTCTAAGCAAATCTCTGTATAAATTGTTTGTATAAGTGAAAAGAATATTTAGTAATTTAAATTTTTCGACTCGGCATTCATTATCAGCTGATAGCGTGAGACGATAATACTACACCTTATCGGTTCCTTCGTTACACTTTATGATTCTCGTCATGGTGAATTCATGGCTTTGATTACGGTTATTTTCGATCTTTTTTAGTGAGTACCCAAATCTTTGTAATAAATCGATTGAAGTTATTTGAATAAATAATTCATGGTGAATATTGTAGCATTGGTAAATATTATAGGATCATTCTTTATTGCCTTAAAAATGAGTGTTTTGTAGTACTACGATTTTTGTTAATGTTACAATATTCACTCAAAGTACATATTTTACTATGAATGAATTATTTACAGCCAATCACTACCCAGGCACATACAGTACCTAGAATAACTGTATCAATACCATCCAGTGAGGCAACAGTGACTCAAACGATTCACCATCACCCTTTGTCTGTGCAACACTCCCACGTCCACATCCATGCCCATCACCAATCGACGCCACATTTCACCCACATCACCCAAACCCTACCGCCCCATTCGACGGTTACGCATCAAATATCCGCCTTGAGCATACCTAATCATTCCCATTCGCCCATATCGCCTCACCAAACCGTAAATCCCCAAACTCACCAAGTTCTGTCCCAACAACAGACGTCCGTTTCGAGCCTTGCGTCCGTCAAGTCCCATTCGGTGTCCAGTTTCACGTCGAGCCATGCTCACAATAACGGGCACCACGTCGTCGCCAATCACCAGATATCCGGACATCACGGCAGTGCTCCTACTAGTCTACATCAGGGGCATTTGCAGGTGACCCATTTCAATCACGTCATTAACCAGAGATTGGGTTGCGCGCAAAACGTTGCCGAGCCCACGGTGCAACAGCAGCAGATGCAGAAACAGCAGCTCATGCAAAAGAAGTCGGATTTGTAAGTGTATTTTGTTAGTATTGTGGAATATCGTTTGAAAATTTGGAATTTTTGAAGGATCGAAACGCAACTTACGATGGACCAAAACGGAGCGACGAAACCGGACATTCACACACCGTTTAGAGACAAAAAAGATGCGTGCATTAGATTGATTCGTTACCATTGTCTGGACCAGCCGGTTCTGTCGGAAAAGGATCTGGATAAAGCGGATGAAATATTCGAATTGACTGCTCAACACCTCATTGGAAAATTCTCCAAAATGGAGGATAAATACAAATATTTGCTCATGAAAGAAAGTATGGTAAGAGCATTTTAGTTATTTCAATCTTTTTTTTTAAACGAATAGCGAGTTGCATATTAATGTTCTGTTTGATGTATGTTTAGCGCCAAGTTCAAACATCGGAGTTGATGATGCTGGATCGTATGCTGCTGAACGACGAACAGCAATCTCTAATGAAGGTCCGCCAGGAACGGGAAAACGAAATCCTCAACGTGTCCGAAACGGAACTCCCTCCGCCGCCGTTACCGCCGCCGATATCCAAATCGGCCCATAATTCGAATTCGAATTTCAACGCGAATTCCAATTCGAACAACGCGGGTTCCCATCAAACGTCGAATCCCGTTCCGACCGAACAGGAGGATTACGACGAATGGGCGTGCATACAACGAGAGCTCGGGTGCGTGTTGCAGCAGAACGAATCGAAATTGGCGCAATCGAAGCGATCGGCGAGCAGCGATTCGAGATTAGAGACTCTGAAGCGGTTTCGCGTCGATAAGCACCACAAGAAACCGACGGATGTAAATATACCTTCTAGCGGAAGTAGTGTACAAAGTGTCGTTAGTAGTACAATGTATGCGCACGCGCAATCGAAAGTAGTAGTGTCCGGCGTCGGAAGTGTCGGTGGGTCGGCGTGCGCGTTCGAGAGCACGCAAAACAGCAGTTTCTCCTCGCACGAGGACAACGAACCCGACAACAATACTATCGACGAGCAAGTGCAATCGGCCATTGATTCGATATTGAACTTGCAACAGAACCCATCTTTAGATTTGGATAGTATTTTGTCATGACGTCATATTTAGGTACGGTTGGAAGGTTTCTGGAGTCCTGGTACTTTTGGACACATTGGATTTTAGTAGTACTGGCGTTTTTGTTAATAACCAATTATCAAGATAGTAGATTTGTCTTGTATACATTGTACAATGTTGTGTGTCAATGAACTGAAACTATCTGTATACAGTAAATTGCTTATGTTATTTTTATGAAAATTTGTAAATGGTACACAATCACGTATTATGCAAAAGTTGATTAGCTCGAAAAAAAATTAAATTATTAAATAAACAACTAAAAGATTGTTGCAATGAAAGTTTAAGGAAATTTAGAAAATGTATAAGTTCATAAAAGTTTGCAGCATGGTCAGTTCTATGAGTTGAACAAAGAAAGATTATTAAAATAACAGTTAGAGCGAGAAAGTTCCAATCCTACAATATCACCCTTCCTTTTTCCTTTATAAGTTGTCTTTGTTGCACCCAAAGCCTATATTGCAAACTAAAATATTCAACCTGTATAAGGTATCTTGTTTATAAAAAGAAAGTCCATAATAATTAGAAGTACTAAAAAAATACAATTAATCTATCGACAACCTTCTACACGTTTTAATAAAAATATCGTACACAGTATTCTTCCGGATAATTTAAGTTCATTGGGACATCCTATATTAAATCAAGATTACTTTTGGTTTCGTTTCGAAATAATATTTGTGGTTATTGACAAAAATAAATGTTTGCTGTAGTGCGGCTTAATTTTTCGCTAATTTTTGTGATATATTGGGAAGCAATAAGCATGTATGGAACAGCCTTATTGGAAATGTAACGAAAATCATCAATCAAGCACATGTCAAAAAATGGTAAAATTTACATCAATTTTGACTATATCAAATACATTTCAAAAGTAATAAAAGACTGGCTAATGAGTAACGTCTAATTGGATTTTTTTTTGCATTGTTTTAATAAGAGCTGTTTCGTGTATCGTAGTCTTTACTGTACCATAAAACGTGAACTATTGTAAAGAAGCTTTAATTTTAAAAAATCAAGTTTAATCTTGCTAAACTTCTCATTAGCTTGTAAGGATTTTATTAACGATATTCGTTATTTACCAAATGGTCAATTTTTGAATGATCCAAGGATTGTGCCAGGACTCTTTAATAGTTTAAATCCCACCCCCGTTTTGAGAATTATAATAATTTATTTCAATTAATTTATTCGAAGAAAACGAATTATTAAATTTTTAAACTTGTTAATCTATTGAATAAAATTATGATTTTAGAATACGTAGGCTGGAGATAGAAATGAGACAGAATTCAGGGAGTACTCAACTCGAAATTCACAGGGGGTGTTTCTTTTAACTCTGTTTTATTTTTAAATATTGTGATGATTTCAAGTAAGGTACAGAGTTATTTATATTGATTACTTTTACTTTCGAAACAATGTATTTACCATGAGAAAGTTCATGAGCTGTTTTTTTGCAAGTAATAAGCAAATAAATACGGGTAATTGAATAATTTTGAAGGACAATCCCACCCTAAAGACGACTAATAATGTGTGTATATAATTTGAATCAATGATTATGAAATATGCGTTGAATGCCAATTCACAAAATGAATTGTTCTATCTTTATATTAATTAAAGAATCGTAAGAGATTAGGCCAGTATTTGATTAATTTGTGTTTCTAAAATAATTGTGATAAATTTTGAAAAAACAGTCAGTGAACGAGTTAATGAGGTTGAAAATACAGTGTGCAAGCGAATGTTGAATTAAATTTTGCTTTATATTATATACCTGTGAATTAGTGTTTGTTGTGTTGTGATATTTCTCACTATTCGGTACTATTAATTTGTTTTATGTATTTTATTTCAACCATTGAGTACAATAATAAATTATTGAAAATAAATTTTAATGATTCCTGCTCATCTTACACACTGTATAAGTCCGTGTTTTTACCGTATCAAAATTATTCTTTTCTTATAAATAATTTTGTATGCTCTTCATGAAATTTGTTTTAGTTTTTAGTGAATCTTCTTGTTATTATTGTTTTACTGTGTTCATAATTTATAACCCGTAAGAATTGTATATACTTCTTATAATGACCGCTGTAAAAAGTTTTTATTGTAAATAATTAATTTATATTATGTACTTAGATCATTATTTTATTTTTTAAGGTTTTATTATTATTATTAAGACTGAAGTTCAGAAATTTTGGTTCCTAAAGGGAAAAGTATTTCAAATAAAAAAAATGATTGTTTAAAAAAAGCACTTTTTACTACCTAAATTTGCGCGAGTTTTGTATTTTAGGTAAGATTTTGGAAAAAGTATCAAAATTTTTATATTCCACCTAAAGTTAGGCAACAACCATTACATCAAAGCACAGTAAGTTCGGTGGTATGAATAGAGTAGAATAAAAATACCTTACAATAAATCAATATTAAAGTCCAATATTTCTGTCGATATGAAATACAGTAGACCAAAAAAGTATTCGTACAGTTGCATTATGTTCTGGAAGTCCGCGTTCAGTAAACAGAAACAAGAAGTAACTAGCAAATTAAAATCTACATTTCAAGACTATTCTTGCAATCATTAATTAACATTGTTATTAAAAATGTAAAATAAAAAAAACGAAAAATGTTTGCATTATCCCCAAAATAAGTATTCGTACAGCAACGTTTTATCAATTTCTTCACTCTGTAGATATTAAATTGTTTATTGTTTTCGCCGGTATATTAGTATTAGGTTGAGCTCCTAGTTCTGTTTTCAAAATAATTCAAGTTTACCTTAAAATGCCTAGAAAAACTGAAGAAATAGATGGTGACTTAAAAAAGTCATCATCCATCATTTTATAGAAGGAAAATAATATAAGGAGATAGGTAAAATTGTTCAAAAAACACATATTACAGTTCAGTACATTGTGAAAAAATATAAATCTACTGGTTCCGTGGAAAATAAGTCAAGATCGGGAGGTACTGCCAAGTTAACTCAACGAGATCAGAATTTCATTTATCAAAAAGTTAAAAAAATTCCCTTTGTAAGTGCTCCATACATCGTTTCTGAACTGGAATCCAATACATGGCATAAGATCCATCCGGAAACTCTTCGATACCACATTAAGCGATTAGAATATAGAGGAAGAAGACCTGCTAAAAGCCAAGGATAAATAAGAAAAATCGAAAGCTAAGAGTGGAGTTTGCTAAGCGTTACATTAATAAACGTTTAGAGTTCTGGAACCAGGTTATATTGTCAGATGAGAGTAAGTATAACATTTTTGGATCGAATGGAGCCAAATCTGCCTGTTAATTGTTTTTTCATTTGTATATTTATTAAACGGGTAATTACACGTATAATGATTATAATACGAGTGTACGAATACTTTTTTGGTATACTGTAAATGCTATTTTTGGAGTTTAAAATCAATTTTCGTATTTTTTTAAGACAAGTGTTGCCATCTTTCGGTCGACTTAAAAACGCAGGCGACGGAAGAGCCACCTGTACAGGTAAGGATACAACTAATTCGCAAATCTAAATTTAACATGGCGTCTAGGTGTTTGTGGGATGAAATTTTTGCAAATAGATTAAAATTCGTATAATACCGCAAGGAGTTGCACTTCTAATCGATCATGTGAATGAGTTATTGTTTACTAAATCGGTTGTGATAAATTGAGCAAGTCGATTATGCGATTAGAGACGTATTTATCATAAATTAGATAACATCGAAGTAGGTAGATCTCAGTTGGCTGGCCATCCCTATTATTAATATCCAGGTTTTGTTGTCGGTATAAAAATGTAGTGAAAATATGCCGAAAAATGGAAACAAAGTTGTGCCGAATTTGTGGAAAGCTCGGACAAAACTTTGTACATATATTCAAAACGGAAGGACTGAGGAGCAAAATCGAGACATGTCTGCCGATAATTGTGAGTATAAACTGTTTTCAAATCAGTTAAATGCGTTTCATTTGTAAAAGAACGTCCAGAAAATTGAACCGTGCATTGTTCTAGTAGGATTAACGATTATTTCTAGTGAACAATAAGGAATAATCAGCCGAAATGGAGCAAAAGCAGAAGAACACCAAACGTGCTGGTGCCAATGAGCCTCATAACGTTCGATCGTACGCTTCGAATTCGAGCACCGGCGTCCTAATGGTCGGCCCCAATTTTCGAGTGGGCAAAAAAATCGGTTGCGGCAATTTCGGGGAGCTGCGTTTAGGCAAAAATCTATACAACAATGAACATGTCGCCATTAAAATGGAACCGATGAAGTCCAAGGCACCGCAGCTGCATTTGGAATACAGGTTTTATAAGTTACTGGGCTCTCACGAAGGTATACCGAATGTGTATTATTTCGGACCGTGCAGTAAGTACAATGCTTTGGTTATGGAACTTTTGGGGCCTAGTCTGGAAGATTTGTTTGATATGTGTGAAAGGAAGTTTTCATTGAAAACTGTTCTGTTGATTGCTATACAGTTGCTGCACCGCATTGAATATGTACACTCCAGGCACCTAATTTACAGAGACGTTAAACCCGAAAACTTTTTGATAGGTCGAACTAGCACGAAAAGAGAAAAAATCATTCATATCATAGATTTCGGTCTAGCGAAAGAATACATAGAGGCGGAAACTAACAAGCACATACCTTATAGAGAGCACAAATCTCTAACGGGTACAGCTAGATACATGTCCATAAATACACATTTAGGGAAAGAGCAATCCCGTAGAGACGATCTCGAAGCCTTGGGCCATATGTTCATGTACTTTCTGAGAGGCTCGTTGCCTTGGCAGGGTCTAAAAGCAGACACGCTCAAAGAAAGATACCAGAAAATAGGCGACACCAAAAGAGCCACTTCAATAGAAACTCTCTGCGATGGACATCCGGAGGAGTTCGCCGTGTACATGCGGTACGTGAGGAGACTAGACTTTTTCGAAACTCCCGATTACGAGTACCTCAGAAAACTGTTCACGTCTCTCTATAACGAAAAGGGATACGCCGATGGCACCGAATTCGACTGGACCGGCAAGACCGTAAACACATCGGTCGGTTCCCTGTCGACGACCGCCCACGAGAAGGTCGCGTCGCCCAAGCGGGGTATCACGAAAAACGCGAAAACGAACACTCCCCACGAGCTCACCAAGCCCCACACGCTGGGCAATCTGACGCCGGCCGAACGCCACGACTCGGTCCAAGTGCTGAGCTCCACCAATAACGAATTGAACATTGACGATACCACCGCTCACAGTAGTGCTCCCATTGCTCAACCGCAAGAAATCGAAATCTTCGACGAGACTAAATGTTGTTGCTTCTTCAAGCGAAAGAACAGAGGTGTCGCTAAACAGTGAACATTTTCGAACTTCTAGATAAATTAATTCTTTTTATTTTTTTTTTGTTCGATATTATTGTTGAAATTAGCCCAAATTTTACATGCCAATTGGGTGTTTAAGTAAAACGTAAGAGATTCACGATAACGTGGAGTCATTGATAATACGATTTTCGCATTTATAACCAATTGAGCTTTAATTGTGTAAATAATTTAAATATATTTCGAGTGTTATTATTTTACGTGTGATAACTTTATTGTGTAACGATTTATCAGCAATTAGGAGTTAAGCTAATTTAATTATTCGAGAGCAACAGACCTTGTATAAAAGAATATTTGTTTCTTTTATAATTATAGGTGGAGTTCAAACCCTTCTCAAGCTAGGTTTGCTCTTCTCTTTAGGTTCTGTTCCACATAAATGTAATGTTTGATGTAATTTTTACCTGCATACAACTTTTTTAGAGTTGCAAAATGTTCTTAATTTTTTAACTACTTGCAAGTCTACTATTCCTTTGGGATTCAGGCTACCTGTTGTGTTGATGCAATATATTATGCTGCACTTTATACAGCAAACTCATGATTTGTTGCATACCTCAAAGTCCAGTGATGTGTATAGGTTGTCCACTTTTATTGAAATTTTGCAACTGTATTTATTATTTAAAGTTTTGCTTAAACACCAAATTCAGGTAGTGATAATCGATGGGAAGAAATGAATTTGTGTAACATTGATTTTCCAGTGCATGTATGTTAAATATCGTTTTAATTGTTTGACGAAAATTTATCATTTCTACCTGTCGTTGTGTGTGGCAAATAAGGCGAATTAAATTGTAAGGACTTTTTATTTTATTTTATCGAATTGTACGTATTTAATGTTGATTTTAATGTCAGGGTTCCCATCAACTTTGAAAAAAATTAATTAGGGAAAACCTTGATGAAATTAAGTATCTAAAATGGTGCTTTTTAGGACTTTTTATTGTATGTACGCTAAAATTCATAATATTGTTATTTTTGAGTATTTTTGTTTACTAAAATGTTACCATTCTCATCGATAAAAATTGTACTTGATTTTGTTATAGAGCTGTTCTGTTCTTGTTTTAATATTTGTTAGTTGTATAAAAAATTATCACCTATAATACTGCCAAGGAAACAAATATGTATCTGCATGGAAAGAGGAAAATTTGGTGGGAACCCTGTATAAAAAAGGTGAGTTCATAAAAGAACAATGCAATTTTTTCTCTAAACCAAAAACACCCTAATCTAATGTATTTTGAAAAGGGCAATTTTAAATACTAAATCTCATTTTATCACTATTTTGTGTTCGATTAATCTACCTCACTGAAACGTTATTGACAAATTCGATTTGCCCTTTTCAAAATTTGATATATTAATATTGTAAATAAAACATTCACAGAGTTTGCCAAATGTGAACGAAATAAAAGTAAATTAGCATTAATGTAGTTTCAATTCCTTTATTAATTTTATTTTTTCATAGTTTCTAAATTAGTCGACTCTGTGAATTAATGGTGTGTAATGATAGATCACTAAATTGCATTTTAATACATACTTAACATTTCGAATATATGACATTGAAGCTGGTGAAACAGGCGTAGTTTTTCTATCTAGTTTAATCTTGAAAAAATTTTACTCAATTGCTAGTATAGATAAATAAATAATTTTTTTTATTAATCTCAATTGGAATTGAGATACAAAATGGTCTATCATTATTTTCAAGTGTTTTTTTAACAGGTACGTTATTGTTCGTTCTATTTATTTAACTTTTCTGTTGTAAATAAAATTTCATTTCGATAATCATCGTTTTGCAGACTTTTTTTAGTGCTATGTAGTGGGAAATTACTTTTAAACTCTTTCATTTTAATATCCATGTGTGCTACCCTATTAAACTAATCTGTATATAATATTTATTCAAAAAAATTACACATATATCGTATGAATGTAATATTTTTGCGCTCTATTTACAATTTTTTTAAAATTTCAATTGATTGGCGGAATAATTTGAAAAAATTACATTCATATGGAGTTTTGTAACGTTTTAACATTAAAAATATTGAATCCTAAGTTTCAAGCAAAATTTTCGTGCTATTTTAATTTTTTACTAATGTATGTAATTGTAGATAAGGGAGATAAATTGAATGTAATGTTTGTAGATCAATTTGTGTCTCCCATTGTACGCACGAATTTGTTTAATTTGGGATTTTGATGATTCGTTTGGTATTGTTAATTGTCTTATTTTCTGATCGATTTTATGTCTAATCGAACGTGAATAAAAATAATCAAATTTTCCACGTTGTTTCGTTGAAAAATTTTTGTTGTTTTTGTGCGTTCGTTTATAAATAGAAACACCAAAATTAGAACGACTTGAAGTGATTATATTCTCGTTAGTTCCCTCGAAAAATCAGCTAACCGCCGATTGACATGGATACCATTTTTATATATCACTTATTTTCGAATCAATATGTAGAATTCGAAGCAAAAAGCCATACCAAACGAGCAAAAAACATTGTGGAAGTGCCTACTAATCGACCAAGCGTGCTTTTAACCCAAATTTTTCTCAAACCAGTTCAACATTTTGTTTTTAGGTGAGCCCCTATTGCCTCCTGCCCGACACGATATGCGCGGAATGCTCGGAGAACGTCGACAACTTCTACGGCTTCATAAAGACCTGCCTGCAGAACGTCATCATCTTGGAGGCGCAGTACGACATCCAGGAGTCCTGCTTGAAGTCGAAGCGCAAGCGCGACAAGAGCTCCTACACGGACTTTAAGCACCAAACCGCCGAGCAGGGCAACCAGACCGACGACTTCCTGGACGTCGTCAGCGGCAGGGACTTCGACTCGGTCGCCTTCAAGAGGGACTTCCCGCTGTGCGCCGGCTTCTTCGACAATCAGCACAATCTACCGGTCAAAACCGCCGGCAGACTGGTCGATTACGACGTGGATTCCGATTCGAGCGCGGACGAACACTACCGAAAACCGCGCACGTTTCCCATACAACCCAAATCGAACATACTCAATCTACTCCCGCCCGCCAAGTCGCTCTATTTCGACGACTCCGAGAAGGATTTAATCAACGAAATCTCGCAGAGGAAGCACCTCAAGCGCAAGGCGGAGTTCATCGAGCTATCGAAACCGAAGATTTTCAAAGCGGACACCTCCAGCAGGAGGAAGAGCAAAATACCAAAGAAATTCGACCCTCAGGACCTCAACGAGGACACCGCCAACGCGGATCTATTCGGAAACCAGCCGGTACAGAGGGACCTCAACGTCAACGGCGATGCCGAAACCGCTACGCAAAGTTTTAATAACCAAGTATGTAGTTATATTACTATAGTTTGTTCAAGTTAATCACCCTGCGACGTCACGATAAGAACCACTGCATATACTCTACGAATTTTATACATACTGTCCCATATTCAGCCATCATTTTAACCTTAAATAGGACTTTAAAGTCGCGTCTCTAACCTGACAGTTGTGCCTTGTTATGGAGTAAATAGGGACTTTGTTTACGTTAAAGTGACCCTCTAAAGCCATGTTTAAAGTTAAAATGGGTCGATGAATACGGCCCACTGTATCTAATTGCGTATTATTTTGCTTTCAGAACGATAAACTGCTGTTCTCTCTGCCGCAGAGCTGTTTGTTATGTGATACTCATTTCTCCGGGCCGGCCGCGCTCGCCGCTCACGTCTTCGAAACGCACGGCATCGATATGGCGGAGGTGGTGTCCTCCGGATCGGGGGAGTCCTTTCCCGAGAAGAACAAGAAGAAGTTACCGAATTTACTGAAAATTACTGATCTCAAAAAGACTGATACTTTAGGCGAGTATTTTTTGTAACTAGCATCGTCGGTTTGTAATGAATAGCGATACTTAATAGGTAAAAGACCAGTTAGAAGCCCGCGTATTTGTGGATAGATGCCATAATTTGATATGTCGATTTTATTTGTCATAATTGAGTTAATCAGGTTACTCTCATTGAGATCTTCAAGATGGTAGAATATAAGAGTCAAAGTTTATAATACATATTAAAGCTGCCAAACAACTATGTGCTGAAGAAATTTGAGTAAATGACTCGGGACAGCCTCAGGATTTTCCTGTGCAAGCTCGTAAGTGCATCTTCAGTTTGATCTTGCTGGGTAACGAATCGTCTCAGAATTGGCAAACGTGCGAATCGAAGTGGTTGCGGACGTGCTCCTGCATGTCGCTCTTCGATCGCAGGACGTTCTTGCATATCCTGCAGAAGAGTGGGCAGCCCGGATGGCGGAATCTGATGTGCGAGACGATTTCGCATTTGCTTTGCACCTTCTCCGAGCAAATTTCGCAACTGTACTCGGAGTGGTAGTTGACCAAGTGCTTCGCCAAACTCTGGCGGTCTTTGAATATCCTCGAACGGATTTTGCACCTGGTCAGCAGGTCCTTTTGCATCCTCGGCCTGCAGTTCTTCTTGTGCTTCTTGAGCAGGATATTTTTGTTGAAACCTTTCGAGCACTTCGGGCATTTGAATTCGACTTCGTTCGTCGGCGGAGTGTAGTTCGTTATAATGTTGTACATGTCGTGAGAGGAATCGATTTCTTTGGGCGCCAGCGGGTGTTCTTCCTTGACGGTCGAATCGTCGTATTTTTCCTTGATGATCAGCTCTTCGTCTTGAACCGAATGCTAAGCCAATTCGAAACTCGACATAAATTATGGCACCTAACCGTAGATATGATCGTGAGAAAAACTTACTGTACGTGGAACTGCACTACTGTATTATGCCCCAATTTACATCATTAGAGTTGGAGAATCGGTGTAATAATAAAATTTAATTTGCAGATGATACTCTGTCGATCGAAAGGCAACTGGAAAACCTCACCGGCAAATCGACGGGCGTGTGCTGTCCGAACTGCAACGCGGAATTCGGCAACAAGCAGGACCTGATGATGCACCTGAAGCTGAAGCACGCCCAACTGGCGGGCTTCGTGTGCGGCATCTGCCTGCAACAGTGCTCGTCGTTGGTGAATTTGAAGGCGCACTTGGAGAACTGCTCGCAACAGTACCAGGTCAAGACGAAGTACGCGTGCCAGGTGTGCCAGTACGGCGACGACAATTTCAAGTGGTTGGAGAACCACGTGCTGGTGCACGAATTCCTGCTGGACGCCTGCAAGAAGCAGATGAAAATGTTCGATCCGGAGGATTACATCGACATCAACGAGAACACCTGCTACAAGGGTTTGAGTTGCGCCGAATGCGGCTTGGACGAGTTTTTCTCGTTCAAGGAATTCAGCGCTCACAGGCGAAACGAGCACAACATCTTCCATTGCGATCTTTGTAATAAGTTTTACGGTAGAAATTCGCACTTGTGGAAGCACGTGAATAGATTGCACAAGGGACACCCGAGCATTACCTGTCAGCTTTGTTATAAAACGTCCGCCTCGAAATACCACCTGTCGCAGCATTTCAATAAAATTCACTTAGCCAAAGGGGGTAAAAAATCGAATAACTTGAGCGGCAAAGACGATTCTACCAAGTTCTCTCCGTTCGATTTCCTATCGATCAGAGAGAACTATCTGAAGCAAGAATTGGCGGAAAACAGCGAGCAAGACGAGCATTCGGACCAAGACGAAGAGCTGATTATCAAGGAAGAATACGACGAGGATTCGACCGTCAAGGAAGAACACCCGCTTGCTCCCAAAGAAATCGATTCCTCCCACGACATGTACAACAACATCATAACGAACTACACGCCGCCGACGAACGAAGGCGAATACAAATGCCCGAAGTGCTCGAAAGGTTTCAACAAAAAGATCCTGCTCAAGAAGCACAAGAAGAACTGCAGGCCGAGGATGCAAAAGGACCTCCTGACCAGGTGCAAAACCTGTTCGAGGATATTCAAAGACCGCCAGAGCTTGGCGAAGCACTTGGTAAACTACCATTCAGAGTACAGTTGCGAAATTTGCTCGGAGAAGGTCCAAAGCAAATGCGAAATCGTCTCGCACATCAGATTCCGCCATCCGGGCTGCCCGCTCTTCTGCAGGATATGCAAGAACGTCCTGCGATCGAAGAGCGACATGCAGGAGCACGTCCGCAACCACTTCGATTCGCACGTTTGCCAATTCTGCGGCGATTCGTTGCCCAGCAAGATCAAACTGAAGATGCACATACTGAGCCTGCACCGGAAAATCCTCAGCCTGTCGTGCGGCATTTGCCTCAAGCTGTTCGAGAACCAGCACGTGCTCAGGGACCACGTCATGCTGGTGCACAAGGACGAGCTGACGCCGCACACTTCTTGCTCCATATGCGGCAAGAACTACGGCTCGAAATGGAAAACGTACGATCACATCAACAAATCGCACGGCAGGATATTCAGGGCGTGCAAAACCTGCTTGGAGGTGTTCGAAAACGACGCTCAATTACAGGCGCATTGCGACGTCACCGCGCACGGCAATCAATTGGGCGGCGGCGCCAACACCGCCGCCCTCCGTAACAGTATTATGGCTCACATCAAATCCGCTTTGACGATAAAAAACGAAGACGATAGTGTCACCGACGACGACGGTAACACCGATAGCGAATTCGACAACGACATGGCATCGTACGAAGAGGACGGCAAGTTCTACTTCCAATCCCAAGACGACGCTAAAATTTCCTTACTAGAAAAGCGATTGTTGGGCAAGCAGGAAAACAAGCTACCCGTCAACAAGAAAACGAAATCGACCGGTAAAAGCAAGCAATCGAAGAAAGAGGAAACGAACTCGTCGAAGCGCACCGTGTACGTCGACAGCTCGGAACCCTCCTACTGCGAGATATGCTACAAGACGTGGCCGGCGAAGAAGCACCTCTGGCAGCACTACATCCGCTGCCACAAGAGCATCGCCGCCACCGTCTGCGGCATATGCCTGAAGACCAACGACGGCTACGCCGCGCTGCAGCGCCACCTCAGAGACAACCATCCGAAGCTGTTGCACGGCCAGGGTTTCGGTTCGAATTTCATATGCAAGATTTGCGGCCGCTACCACAACGCCAGCTCGAAGCTGCGCCTGCACATGGTCATCCACGAGAACTTCGACTGGAAGCTGATCGAGGACGTCGACAAGGACGAGCGGCCGTCCGCCAACGGGTTCAAGATCAAGGAGGAGACGCGCGAGGAGGACGAGGACAACATCAACTACGACAGCCTGATCGAGCAGGTCGAGTGCTCGTCGGAGAGCAACGGCGAGGAGTCGGACAACGAGCGCGTCAAGCGCGAGGATTCTTCGTCGTCGGACGAGGAGGGTAGCGAGGAGGATTCCGTTCAAAGTTGGGTAAGTTGCCGTTTTTATCTTCCACATAAAAGCGATTTTTATATACCCTACTTCACTTGGTATTCGAATTATACGGGGTGTTTTATTGGGAAAGGGCGATGTAGTATAGATTTTGCGCCCTTAAAAACCAAGTTGCAGGGTGTTTTTTTGAAATCGATTCATTTCTTTCGTGACATAATTTTTGTAAGATACGATTATGAGGTATCTATCTGATTCCTTCCGAGTGTTTCTTTCTTAGACTTTCTTTCGAGTCTATTTTTTCCGAGTCTCTCTTTCTTTCTGAGCTTTTCTTTTCCTCTGAGATTTCTTTCTTCCTGAGCCTTTCTTTCTTTATGAGTCTGTCTTACATTCTGAGCCTTTTTTTCTCAGTCTTTCCTTCTGAGTCTTTCTTTCTCGGCCTTTTTTCTTCATCTCTGAGCCTTTTTCTTCATTTCGGAGCCTTTCTTTTTTCTGAGCCTTTCTCTCATTCTGAGTCTTTATTTCTTAGCATTTTTTCTTTATTTCTGAGCCTTACTTTCTTTCGGAGCTTTCCTTCTTTATTTCTAAGCCCTTTTTACTTTATTTCTGTGCTTTTCTTCTTTATTTCTGTGCCTTTTTCTTTATTTCTAAGCAATTCTTTCTTTCTGAGCCTTTCTTTATGAGGAGCCTTTTTTCTTTATTTTTGAGCCTTTTTTTTTCTGAGCCTTTCTTTTTTTCTGAGGTTTCCGTCTGTCATTCATTGTTCCATTCGTCTTTAGGATCGTAAAGAGGACGAGCAGCAAAAGGCGCCGAGCGGGGTACCGTCGGAGGTGGCGCAGCAACGCGAGCAATTCTCCTCGTCCAGCGAGGACTCGACGTCGAGCTATTCGAGGAGCAAGTGCAGCTCGTCGGAGGACGAGTGCTCGCAGGATTCGCGTTCGGTGTCGTCGCATTCGCGCGGCAAATTCGAATCGTCCGATCGCAAGTCGAGCTCGGAGATGGAGTCGGAGGCGAATCAGGCGGGCATGTTCGGCAGGAAGCCGGAGGAATTGGATTCGGCGATCAAATCGATCAGTTACAACGAATGCGCCGAGACGGAGGACGTCGACGTCGACGACGATTACTGCGAGGTGCAGGGCAACTGTTTGAACGAGAACGAAATCGAATCGGCGGTCGGGAGTATATTGTAGAAGGGAAATTACACAGGGTGGAATTTTCGTAAGTATGTACGTTTAAACGAGATTCGGCGATTTTTCTATGCGTTATTGTAAAGATAGATTTTCATTGTTTGATATATTGAAAAAAAATTGTGCAACCTTCGATTTTAAAGGATTTAGAAATATCGATCGGCTAATTGTTGATGTTCATTTAAACATTGTGTGTAAAAGATATATTAATTAGAAAAATTGGTGGGTTATTGTTAAGCTGTAAACGCTTATTAAGTACTTAATATATTTTTTTGAAAGAATTACTATTGTGTAACTCGGCACCGAGATCATTATTATTATTAAGAATAGCGAGAATTATTTTAAACACCAATTTTTCTATCGCATTCGAAATGATTCTTATGTATATAAAAATACAAGTTAAAATTTTAAGCATTTCTCTTGGTCGATATTTTTTAATAAATTGTCGCTTATCGAAACAAATTCTAATAGCCAATCAATAGAAATTTTATAAAATACTCATAAAACTAAAGAACTTTATTAAGTTTACTAAACTATTAAAAATGTTTCGATATATTTTAAATTGAAATATTATGTATATGTAAATTATATATATGATGCCATAACAGAAAAAAAGACTCTGCCCTTTGAAAATAACGTCGTTGGGTCTATTTGTTTTCCTCCACAACAAGTCTTGAATCAGTGTTCTATTCTATTTTAAGCTAGTCAGTCATATATGGTTCCTTTCTATGTGTTTCCTTGAACAAAGGGCGTCTTACTATAAAAATGTTTGTATGTGTGTGGTTTATAGTAAGGTGTCCGGTAAAGATGTGTGGTGTACATGTCGTTTTATACCTAAATAACTTTATTGAGGTTGCAGCGAATCGCAAGTTATTTACCGATTGTATTTTTTTCGACTTTATTTAAAGACTGTTTTTTTTTTCTTTGCTATGATCTGACTTTTAAGCTTTTAAGTGAAACAATCTATTTTTGTATTTATTTTTATTACTTAAATTTTAGTGTAAGTTTAAAAATGATTAACTTCACACATTCCTTTTTTTCTTCATACTCATACGGTTAGTACATACTTGTATATAAATTTGAAAGTAATAAAGTATTTTCTAAAATAATTTTTTAATGCAAAAACGTTTTATTTAGTTATTTGGAAAATACAACTCGCATCAGAATAAAATTACTTCAATTGAAGTTGTTTTTTAAATTCGTTGACCTGTTTGATCATGTCTGTAATTTTTTTGGTTCTGAAAAAAATTGTTACTCAAATTTTGTAAAATGAATATTGTAGTGAACGAACTTACGTTTCTTGTAAATTACTTTTGATGGTGTTTGTGTGGGTCTCGTTTAGTGATGAAATCTTTTTTATTTCTTGGGATTTCCAATTTTCCATCTGAAAATTTTAAGGATTTATCGAATTCCTTTTGTCACATTTCTACTCTATTTACCTGAATTTGTTGATATTTCGTTTTGTTTTTAATTTTCTCTATCTTGTCTCCAAAAATTCCGATTTTTTCACTCGAATCGTTGAGTTCCTTCACAAACTCTTTTTCAGCTTCTGATGGAGCGCTCTTTTTCCTCGAAACCAACATCAGTAGATTTTCAGCCCTAAAATTTAATAACATACAATTAATTATCTATTCTCCTTGATTATATCCATATTTTCGATTGATGATGAGAAGCTTGGTGTAATAAATTAAGAATAAATCAATCATTTCATCATGAGGGTTAATTATTTTAAGTAGGTTATTCATAGCTTCTTACTTCTTTAGCAATTCATCTTGTTTATCTTTAATATCTTCGTATTTTTCGGCTAAATTGCTCGCCTTCTCCTGCAGTTCATCGCGTTCTTTCGTCAGGTACATCAGCTCTTTTTGCTGGTTCTGCTTCATCATGTTTAACGTGTGCACCCTCTTTTCCAGTTCTTCTCTGGCCTTTTGGTGGTTCTTAAAATATTCCTCTCTAAACACTTTCGCAGCCCTTTGGAGAAGCTAAAAGAGAAAAGTAATGTGAGTTTGTTCAGCGAGATAAATCGTGTGCTTACTTCATAATTTTCTTCTTGGCTGCCGGTACTATTAGCCGGCAGTTTTAGTACGGGTTGTGTAGGAGTTTTCTTTAAAATTTTCTCGATATACTGTTCGAAAGGTTCTTGCAACATCTACGGAAATTTTAAATCATATTAGTACTATTACTTATCTAATTTGTAATTTTTGAAGTACTTTTTTAAGTGGTGACGTTTTTCCTGGCTCATCGTCCAGTACCAAATCCTCTAGTTTCGGTAAACCACCGGTATACATAACACCAAGCGTTACTAAACTACCATCCCCGAGTAGAGTTATGATTGATGTAGGTTCATAATACAAAGCGAAACCTATAACAGGATTACTTTTTTCCGAAGCTGCCGTTTTCGTGCACAACAAGTACTCAGCCTTGCTCAAATTCACGAATATATCAGAAGTGGGATCAGCATCTAAAATTAAATTAAACATCATAAACGAGCGGGTACTAACTTACCATTTACCTTCGGGCGAGTTAATGAATTCCTGCAGGGTATCGGCGCAAGTGATAGCGACAGAATGCACTCCCGCGGTGTGGGTGGCGTAGTACCGGCCCGGTTTCGAATCGTCCTTCTTCAGGTTCACTGGACATTTGTATTTAGTATCGTTGTCTTCTTCGCACGTGGCCAGACCTAGTTCAAGTTCGATACTTTCGAATGCAAGGAACTCTTTCTTGGACAGATCTTTGAGCGATTTTTTATACCCTTCCGACTAAAAAAAGTTAATTAAATTAAAGTATAATTGTGTTTATGATGTGGTACTTTTGTGGTTTCATCGGTGTCCAAACAGATGGAGTGCCATACAGTCCCATTCGAGAGAGCGATACAGGCGATTTGTGGTACGGTGTTCAAACAAATTATCGAACAAGCTTCAATCGTTTCACTTTCGAAGGATACCATTGGTAAGGGTCCTTTAAGAACAGGTTTCCACCTACATGAGACGGTAGTTATAAAAGAAATTAACAATTCGTGAGATAAACTTGCCGTTTCTTCAAATCGATATCGATGCAATAAACGCTCATGTCGCTTCTCAACACAAAAATGGGCCACACCAAGTTATTCCAATCCTTATTAGTCTGGTGATTGTCGTTGGATTCGGTGGATTTAGTTTTCGGGTTGATCCAATCGATGGCGTTTTCATGGCCCTTTTCGCCCTTCTTCCACTCGATGGTTTGCGTTTGAGCGTTCCACACGCCCGGCGGAGCGCTGCTGACCGAACGACCGGCAGGAACGTTGCAAATTTCGGGATGCCCGAAGTCGAAATCCACGGCCACTTCGCCGTATATGGCAAGAAATGGGGTGTTGGTGCCCGGAAAGAGGGTCGAGGGTCGTTCGCCCACCGAATACACGTCCAAGTTCGTCGCCTGGCCGTTTTCCACTTGATACAACCTAAAGAAAATTAGTAGAAACACCACGATTTGGAAGCTTTAATGCAAGGACCAAGTTTCTAAAGGAAAAAAATATAAAATAAGTAGTGCTTACCTCAACATGTTATCCGAAGTGAGTACCAAAATATGATTGTGATTCAAACTGCCTGGATGGAACTTTACTTGTCGCACTTCTACCGTATCACCACAAGATAGCAATCTTTCATCTAAACTGTGCGTCCTGCAAAGCATGAAATAAATTAATTACCGAACATTTTTATTTTTTCGTAATAACGAAAACATACTATATATGAATTAAATGAAAATTATACCGAACCGCTGTGAAAAATATATGGGTATTATGTTAATACGCTCAGTTAGAATGAAAACAAAATATTATATACATTAAAATTAAAATGTAAACGAATGCCGCGGAGCTATTTGTTCACGGCTCATAAATTTTTAGAAATTAAATAAAATAATGAGCGCAATGTATATTATTCAACGTTTTTCACCCCTAGTTTAACGTATTTTTTGTATTTATTTCCTCTACCATTACATGCACCATTTAAAGTAAAAACATCAGAAAAAAATGTATTATGACGCTAAAACCGATGTAATTTTTCATTCGGATATACCCAACATTTTTCTCGACAATTCCAGAAAAAAATATTAAACTTCTAATAAGGGAACTTAACTAACGGTTAATACGCGAAAAATAATCGCGCTAATTTCCCTCGAAAGCCCGGAGAAAAGCGACCTATTCAGCGAAATATGACTTATTGGCGCAATAAAAGAGATTATCGCCTATTTATTTAAATTTTCCGTACAAAATAATTGCGGTGCCCCGCCGCCCGGACGGGGTAAAAACCGGGGGGCGGCGACGTCCCAACTATATTATATACAACGAAAACGGGAACGTTGAAAATCCGAATGAATATTCAAAGATGCGACCCGAGGAGAGTAATTAAGAACACATAGGTTATAATGCGGAATTATAGTTGGCTGCGCGAGCTTTAAGATTTTCCGCGAATTAGCATAAAAAAGCGATAAAATTATTGTCGGATTAAGTTTTGGCAATGGGAAAAGAGCTTTTCGGCGTTCGTTCCACTTGTATTATTGCCACGACGAAGAGACCCGAGAGGAAATCGCGAGGTATTCAAGTTACATTTATATCAAAATGAAAGATTTTTTTTTCATTGAAAATTAGATTAAACCTTCCTGACTATAAGTAAGAGGATTCTATAAATTTGAACAAAATATTCCCACCATTTCTTTCAAAAATCAAACATTTTAAAAACTGGCGAAGGAATCCTCGTTCTCTTTATTAAAGCACAAAATGTCCTAATTAAATATTTAACCAGCAACGAGGAAGTATTCATTCTTCGAGCGTCACTCATTCGAGGCTAGAGAACAAAGAGCAAAAGTCGCGATTTCGCCTAAATTAAGCGAATGGGACGTTAAAAAGTTAGGCGAAACGACCGTAGAGTCGCCCACCTTAATGGAAAGACGACATCAACGGGCCCCGGAGACCAGACGCACAAAAACCATCAGAAAATTAACATATTTTCATTCGCCATAACCGGATTACACCGATCATCACTGACTTACATGAACCATGCATACTATTTCGTACATGTAAAAAAATCACCGCTTTCGCCAGCTCAATTTAACGGACACTCTGTGTGAATAGTAGTGAATAAAAAATTCGCACATTCGTAAGATCGGAAACCGGCAATTGGAAATTCCGACCGACGCATTCTAAACATAATAGAACAAAAAAAAGAGCACGTTCGGTTTGACGTGCTCGCTGGGACACCCTTTCGCCCGGAATTGGAAATCTAACTGGAAACAATGGGAAAGCGGGCGCGCTGCCCGTTAGGAAAAGCGATCACACGCCATTAAGCAGACCGCCGCTATATTTCTAATTACTTTCCGAGAGATTTTTTTTTTAATTTTTTTTAATCGCCCGTCTTTCATCCTTTGTCTGCTCGCGGGCCCCCGAAAATCGATTAACATCTCTTCCCGTTATTTATTTACGCACAAAAACGAATATTCGCGGTACAAATAGTACACAATAACTAATCGCTATGAAAAACAACGAATTCGAAATATATCCGAATAAGGCTCGCCGCGTGCATAAACAAGTCGAAATTACGGCGAGCTTAAATTATGCTCGAATATATCACGAATAATATAATAGTTAGTACATTCGTATGACACGGCTAATGGCTGTTTGAGAATTTAGATACAGGTGTTGTGCATTATACGGCCGTGAGATATTACTTTCCCTCGGCTCCGGCAGGAGAGCGAGACGCGGAGTTTCGGGAGAAAAAGTTTTCTTTTCCGCCGCGGATCCGCGCATCACGTATATTATTCGCATATAAACAAAAGGCGGGACGCGTAACGAGAAGGTCTCTCTTAACGCGCCGCCTAATTGGAATTTATTTTGCTCAATTTTAGCGCATTTTAATGTTTATCTTAATGAAAATATACTATAGTCGAGGAGCAATTAGACGCCGAGGAAAAGATATGACGCTGAACTTTGTCCAAATTAAAATAGTATTATAATTCGCTTCGGAATAATTGAGAGATCATCCCCGTTTGGGTTAATACGTTGATGTTCCGGTTACGGCTGCAAGGCAATCTCGGGCGCGTCAGTTATTCATGAAACGACCTGGCTAGGTTATCTCATCATCAAAAACCGACTATTTTTTTGATTAACTAATTTGAAATTAGCGCCGGGACGAAGGAGAGTGCATTAATATTGGTGTTGCATTAATATGACAATAAAGAAAGAGTAGAGTAAGTGCGCTATATATGGACCATCATAAACACTTTTCTCAATAAAAAGTTGAATTTTAAATTTTAATCAGCTTTATTTATATTAAACAATTCCTTAACCATTCAGTTAAGAAAAACTGATAATAAAATTCTCCAAAAAACAAAATCTTTGAAATAAATAACATTTTCTAAAGTATTTCATTTTTATGAATTTTCAGAAAGTGAACATAATATGGACCACATCCAGATTTTTCCATTTCTAGAATATAATTGACTAATTCATCTTCCAATTCACTCGGTAATGTTGATTGTCTCCCAAGTTTTTGGTTGGTAATATCATTAAGTGATTGGTTTTGGGTGTATCTTTTGGAAGCATTCAAAAAGCCCATTTTCTTTTCTTTTGCACTTTTAATTGCCTCCTCCATTACGTTTTTTATCGCATGCTTGTATGGTCTTCTCTATTGTTTTAGAAGCCATTCTAGACCATAAAAATTAATTTTTAGCCACTCCATTAAAACGAGCCACTGGTACATATTATGATACTTACTCATTTTGAGATTATTATTTTTTTTCAGAAAATTGGAATATTATGGAATATTAAAACTTAATACAATTAATTGCAACATGACTCACCTTCCTCGTGGTCTTATCCACAGATTAAAAACCTTCCAAAGTTCGCAAGAAGAGTAAATTTTTATATTAAAAAAATACCTTCCCCCAAAAAAGATATATTCATTACTTCCAATATTTTTACACGAAACAACTTGTAGATTCCTCTATACCGCATCTCCTTTGATACCCACCCTAAACATATACCTATGCAGTATAAACCGTTTTAACTCAATAAACAATATCTCCTCTCCCTCGATCAAAATTTTACTTTCCATACCGCTATACATATAGCGCGCACATATGTATATTTATTAGCTGGTAAATATTCAAACGGATTTCTTGAAAGTTTTATTAGATCGTTCAAAAACCGGGTGGAGGTTCTAAAGACCCCAAGAGTCTCTTATCCGCCCTCGACGATGATAGTAAAATCCTCCATCAAACTTTTCAGCAAGCCCGCTCGTCCGCCACCCCCCCGCGCCGCCCCGTCCCCCTTTTCGATGCTCGATCTCTCATCAACCCCCCCGGCGCGCCGCCCCCGCCCCGTCGCCGCCGAACTCCGGAGACCGAACGACCCGATGTGTGCCGGTATAGATTAATTAATGAATAAATAATCAAGAGTGCGGCCAGGTTTTGATTATAAGATATAGTTGGCCGCGGCCGTAAGAGCGTCGGGCGTTGTTGCGTTGTTTCGGGCGCGTTGTTTATTATGTATCAGCTCGCCGCCACCTTTGATGACTTGCTTTATTGCTTTATTTAGCCGGGCGCCGGGATAGATTGCCACGCCGCGGTTAATTCTGCATTATTAATCGAATCGCCGTGGAAATTTGCGATATCCGACGATTCGACTGTGGCTGGTGCGATGAGAGATCCGGCTCTCATTGCTCCATTTGCACCCAATCCAGCTCTCTGCGCTCGTAGGATTACTTAATCTTCGGAATTTGCAAGAATACAAATCAACTTCGAAGATGTTATAGTACATCTAATTCTTAGTGTCGATATCGGAATAAAGCGTTAAAGTATTCTATAAGAAAATGAAGCTTTAAAATAAAGTGTCCTCTAACTTTATTCCTAATGTTAAATGGTTTTATAAAACATGTAAAAGGTTTGGCATTTGAGCTTGTATATAGTTGCAATCGCTTTAATAACGCTTTAAAAACACTCCAAATTCGCTACCAAACCACTCCAAAACCGCTTCAAAAAGTCACCAAAAACCCCTTCAAAAACGCTACAGATTCCCTTCCAAAACCACTACAAAACCGCTTCAAAAATTCCATAAAGCCTGCAAATACCAAAAACTCTCCAAAACCCCTTCATATAAGCACTCTAAATTCGCTTCAAAAAAACTTCAAATCGATTCCAAAATAATTCCAAAAACTATCTTACATATAAAAAGTCTTCAAAAACAATCTGAAATCCCTTCAAAAATACTCCAAATTCTCTTCCAAAACTACTCTAAAACCGCTTCAAAACACTTCAAATGGCCTTCACAAAGAATCCAAATTTGCTTCCAAAATAACTCCAAAAAGCCTTAAAAATACTCCAAAACCCCTTTAAAAACACTCCAAATTCGCTCTCGCCAAATATCACTTACTCGCTCTAAAACCGGAAGGCTGAAGACTAAACCGGGTACTTCTACAAAAAAAATATATGGCGCCTAAATTTCTCTTTGATTGCTTGTGGTTATAAATTGTTTGAGAAAGACATATTACTATAATGTAAAATTACAAAAAACATGGCGAATCTACGCTTTATATAACACCAAATTTTTAATTATTTTTTTACGTCCATTTTTATGGGGGTTAGTTAGCCGTCAGGTCAAAGAATGACTGGTTAACTAGCGGTCAA